TAGCATACCTCCTGAGTCCCTTCCCTGTTTCACACCTGGTAGTTTGGTGGATGGGACTACCAGCTCTCTGTAACCTAGAGGGCAACCAGTGGGTCCATCACCTCTATACCATGTTTCTTGTAGGATGAAAATGTCTGTATTTCTAATTTCTTTGGTGAACTCCAGGTTCCTGCTCTTTAGGCCAAAGGCAGATGACCTCAGGCCTTGGATATTCCAGGATGAGATAGTGAAGGCTTTGTGTTCCATAAAGTGTCCAATGTTGTTAGTCGTGTGGTTTGGCCTCAGACCAGTAAGTGTGAGCAGAGCTTGCTGAGCATCTGATACATGCCATTGGCTTGGGCTAGTGTAAGAGTGGGGGTTGGGCCTGTTTGGTCCTTAGACAGAAGGTCTAGGGCACGCTGGGTGTTTGGACACCAGAGTTTAGACACTGTGTGTTTGGGCAAAAGTTTATTTTCATGTCTCTCTCTCTCTCTCTCTCTCTCTCACACACACTCTCACACACACACACGCATAGTTACTGTTTGTAATGCAGTATATCCTGAGACACCCTCCTCTTCATCACTAGTCAGCAGTGATCACCCAAAGGGTGATTCCTAAGTTGAATGCACCAATTTGTAAGTCGCTCTGGATAAGAGCGTCCGCTAAATGACTTAAATGTAAATGTAAAATGTAGCGCTGGTGGCATGGTGTGTGTGTGTTAGTTGTGGTGTGTGTGTTAGTTGTGATGTGTGTGTTAGTTGTGGTGTGTGTGGTGTGTGTGTGTGTTGGTTGTGGTGTGTGTGTTGTTGGTGGTGTGTGTGGTGTGTGTGTGTATGTGAGGTGTGGGTGTGCGGTGTGCAGTGTGTGTGTGTATGTGTGGTGTGTGTATGTGTGTGTGTGTGTGTGTGTGTGTGTGTGTGTGTGTGTGTGTGTGTGTGTGCGTGTGTGCGTGTGTGCGTGTGTGTGTGCGTGGCCACACGTAACTGTAATGGAATGCTAATGTACTGAGCTGTCCTTGTCTCTGCAGTGCTACCACAGAACAGAACAGAACAGACAGGGACACGGTGCGTTGCGTTGCCACGGCTAGTCTGCTACTGCAAGGCCTTCTGGGTGTGTGCCATGGCCCTCTCCTCTCTCTTGGGAGACTGGTCTGGGGCTCTGTCCCAAATGGCACCCTATTCCCTTTATAGTGCACTATGTTTAACCCATAAGGCTTTGGTCAAAAATAGTTCACCATAAAGGGAATAGGGTGCCATTTGGGACATAGCCTCGGTCTGGTGTGGGTCTAGCCTGGCCGGATCCATCCGTCTTCTGGCAGGGTGGCTGGTTGGCACTGTGTGGTCTCTGGCACCGCCACACCAAAGGGCCATTTAATGCGATCAGCGGCGGTTGGCCGGGGTGCGGGCGCCATGCAGTGCCATCTTGGGCACCAACTCAAATGGCCCCAGAGCGAACAGAACAGAACCCACTCCTCCTCCCTTCCTCTACTCCCTCTCTCTCCCTCTTCCATCTGATAACCCCTTCCTTCCTTCTTTCTTCCCCTCCTCCTTTGCATCCCTCCCTTGCTGCTTAGTGCCCCCCAGGCTAATCCCTCAAACTGTGCCCTGGAGAAAAGGCAGTCAGACACAATTTGACTAAGAGGCTGTCGGCCTGGCCCACTGTAGATGAATACTGAGCAGGCGAGACTCCAACACCCAATCTCTCTCTCTCTCTTTATCTCTATCTCTCGCTCTTTCTCTGTGACTGGAATGAGAGGAGAAGTGGAGGGGGAATAGAGGGATGAGAGGAAGATGGGGAGAGAGTGGAGGGATTGTGATGGGGGTGTTATTTGTCCTACAAGCCCCATGGCTGTCCTGTGGAGTAACATCCTTCCTCCTTAAACAGACACACATAGGTAAATACACACACACACACATCTGCACACACCCACACACCAGTAGAAGAGGTGAGATGGGATATGAGAATCGTAAAGAGATGGAGTTTCAATGAGCAGCAGATTTCATTTCCAATATGACAAGCCATCCTCCAACAACCCTGGACTTTCATGTAGAACAGAACAGCACTGTGCACTTACATACCAACAGCAGCAGCAGTAACAGCTATAGGTCTGCAAGAGGACGTCTGCAATAGGACACGGCCTTGAACATCCCATTTTGATTCCTCTCTACACTCTTAGAAAAAAAAGCGCTATCTAGAACCTTAAAGGGTTCTTCAGCTGTGCCCATAGCAGAACCCTTTGAAGAAACCTTTATGGTTGCAGGTAGAATCCTTTTGGTTTCAGGTAGAACCCTTTTGGGTTCCATGAAGAACCATTTCTACAGAGGGTTCTACATGAAACCCAAAAGGGTTCTACCTGGAACCAAAAAGGGTTCTACCTGGAACCAAAAAGGGTTTTCCTACGGGGACAGCCGAAGAAAACCTTTTGGAACCCTTTTTCCTAAGAGTGTACACTATTACAGGGTACAGACTAGCTTTATCTGAGGTAAAAGAAGGCTGATTTATGAGGGAAACTTGGAAAGACAAAAGCGCTGTGCTGCATTATGTTGTGTCGGGTGTCGCCTGACAGCTCTATTGATCGGAGGATCCTGTGTTTGGATGAGAGATGGATAGCAGCAAGAGAGCAGAGGAAGAGGAAGAGGAAGCAATGAGAAAAGGAGCCATGTTGTTTCTGTTTCCATCAACACACACACACACACACACAATGAGAAAGGGAGCCATGTTGTTTCTGTTTCCATCAACACACACACACACAATGAGAAAGGGAGCCATGCTGTTTCTGTTTCCATCAACACACACACACACAATGAGAAAGGGAGCCATGTTGTTTCTGTTTCCATCAACACACACACAATGAGAAAGGGAGCCATGTTGTTTCTGTTTCCATCAACACACACACACACAATGAGAAAGGGAGCCATGCTGTTTCTGTTTCCATCAACACACACACACAATGAAAAAGGGAGCCATGTTGTTTCTGTTTCCATCAACACACACACACACAATAAGAAAGGGAGCCATGTTGTTTCTGTTTCCATCAACACACACACACACACAATGAGAAAGGGAGCCATGTTGTTTCTGTTTCAATCAACACACACAATGAGAAAGGGAACCATGTTGTTTCTGTTTCCATCAACACACACACACACAATGAGAAAGGGAGCCATGTTGTTTCTGTTTCCATCAACACACACACACACACACAATGAGAAAGGGAGCCATGTTGTTTCTGTTTCAATCAACACACACAATGAGAAAGGGAACCATGTTGTTTCTGTTTCCATCAACACACACACACACAATGAGAAAGGGAGCCATGTTGTTTCTGTTTCCATCAACACACACACACAATGAGAAAGGGAGCCATGTTGTTTCTGTTTCCATCAACACACACACACAATGAGAAAGGGAGCCATGTTGTTTCTGTTTCCATCAACACACACACACAATGAATAAGGGAGCCATGTTGTTTCTGTTTCCATCAACACACACACAATGAGCTCTGAGAGGCTTGTCTTGTTGAGAAGGAGTGAAAGTGTCAGGGTTTTGGTACAGATCCAAAGATAGAGTACAGAACTATACTTTTCGCAGTTTGTCGTTCCTAAGTGTGATCGTTATTTCCCCATAGGTCTTTTTCAAATAGAGCAGCATGGGTTGTCCTTGAAAGTGTGTGGGTCAGGGCAGACACCTGTGTTACGATCAGGGCATATAGTTAGAAGTGATTACAGTTTTATTACATAGAGACAGATGGAATTTACAGTATATAGGTATTTTATAGGGGTTGACCAAGGGGCAGAGAGAGAGATGTCCTCATATTTGTTAAGCCTCAATTCTCTGTCCTAGTCCTGTGTTAACATTGTTCTTTATGTAGCTGATGTTGTTTTTAACAACTGTTACATGTAGGTATTTTCCCTGTGGAGATGGATGAATACAGAAGAATTCTGTAGAGCTGAAGAGCTTTCTGACAGCAGGTACACTGAAGGGCAGGCACTAGACACCAAGCACCAGGCACCAGACACCAAGCACCAGGCACCAGACACCAGGCGCAATGCACCATGCACCATGCACCAGACACTATGCACCATGCACCATGCACCATGCACCAGACACCAGATAGACACTTCAGGGATGCTTCTCTACCTCTGTAGTGCTCCCCTCGGGAAATGCCTCCACACACACACACAAACACACACACAGTCTTGTAAAGCTAACCTTGTGGGGACACACAATTCAGTCCCATTCAAAATTATATTTTCCCTAACCCCTAACCCTAAACCTAACCCTAACCCGTACTCTTACCCTTACCCTAACCTTAACCCTAACCCTAAACCAAAAACCTAACCTTAACCTAACCCTAGCTCCTAACCCTAACCCTAAAACTAACCCTAGCTCCTAACCCTAACCCTTAACGTAATTGTAACCCTATCACTAATTCTAACCTTAACCCTAAACCACCTAGAAATAGCATTTGACCTCATGGGGACTAACAAAATGTCCCCAGTCTGTCAAATTTTTGTTTGTTTACTATTCTTAAAGAAGAATAGTTAAACACGTCCACACACACACACACACTTACCCTTTCTAGAAATGCCTCCTCTCTCACCCCAAATACAGTATAAATGTGTGAACGGTGTTAGAGTTATAATGTAGTGTCAACCCACTAACAGAGGGGGAGGAGTTAGAAACTGCTGAGAAAGCATTCCAGGGTGAAGGGGACTGAGAAGCTGTTTAAAGGTGGGCGGAGCAAAGTGCCTTTGTGTGTCAGGGGGTATAAAGGCTGTATATGTATTTCTTGGCGGCAGAGCTCTCCATGATTAAAACATACAGATCATTCTTGTTGGTTGCGGACCTTCGTTTAATTCATGATTAAACCAGAGCCTTACAACCCTCTGGGAATTATTCAAAGCATTAAGTTTTGATTAATTAGAGATAGAAAACCTCGCCGGCCTTCTCAGAGGGGAGAGAGGAGCGAGCGGAGCGAGACGAGCGCGCGAGGAGAGGCGCAGCAAGCAGACGCAGAACGCAGCACGCAAGACGCACGCAGAGCGCGAACGACGGCGCAGGCGCGCGGCGCGGGCGACGCGCGCGCGCGAAAACCCGCCGCGCGCGAGCGCGCGCGCGAGCGCGAGCAGCGCGAAACGCGCGAGCGCGCGCGCGAGCGAGCGCAGCGGGCGAACGCGAGGAGAGGGCGAGCGACGCAGCAGAGCGCGAGAGGGGAGAGAGAGCCGAGCGAACCGAGGGCGCGAGAGCGCGGCGAGGAGCGAGCGAACAAGACGACGAGCGACGAGCGGAGAGCGAGCGAACGAGACGAGCACGTGCGCGAGAGAGAGCGGCGCGCGGAGACGAGAAGCAAGATAGGGGAACGCGCGCAGGCGCGAGGCGGAGACGAAGGAGCAGAGCAGAGAGAGAGAGAGACAGAGCGAAGGGCGAGAGAGCGCGCTAAGCGCGACGAGAGCGACGAACCGGAACGGGAGGAACAGGCGAGCGGGCAGAGACGAGAGCTATACGATACTTTGCGGAGCGGAGCGAAGCACGTAATCATATAGGACGCCTCCTTCTGCTAAGACTCGACGAGCGAGTCTCATAGCGCCGCTAATACTACATCTCTCTCTCGATCTATGCTCTCTCTTCTCTCTCTATCTCTCTCTCTCTCTCTCTCTCTCTCTCTCCTCCTCTCTCTCTCTGAACCATCCTTCTCTCTCTCTCTCTCTTCTCTCTCTTCACCGCTCTGTATCTTGTGCTTTCTGCTGTCTCATGCTCTCTCTGCCGTCCATTCCTTTCTCTCTTTAGCTCCATCCTCGTCACACCCTACATTTCTCTTTCTACTGTATATTAGATATCTCTCTGGTATGCCATAGCCTAGGTCCCATGGACATAGTGGTTCTACTGTATGGCATCTTATTGTGCTAGTCCTCATGGACCTGTCAAAGCTTTGTTAAACACACAGTGAGCCGGGCAGGAGTTTACTAGGCTGAAAACAACAGGACACATTCAGTTTTGGCCATGTTTCATATCCCAATGTTACACTGCTGTGCTCTGGCCTTACCTCTTTCTCCCTCTTCTCTCCATCCTCCCTTGCTTCCTCCCTCCCTCTCCTTCTCCCTCTCTCGTCCTCCCTCCATCCCTCCCTCCCCCTCTCGCCCTCCTCTCGTGCCCCTAGTTATGTTGATGTGTTCCCACCCTCTCTCCTCCCTTTCTCTCCTTCTCCCTCTCTCTTCTTCCTCTCTCCCTCTTCGTTCCCCCCTCCTCTTCTGCCTCTAGTTATGCTGGTGTTCCCATCCTCTCTCCTCCCACCTCTCCTTTCCCCCTCCCTCTCTCTCCCTCCCTCTATCCCTCTATCCCTCCTTCTCGCTCCCTCTCCCTCCCTTCTACCGTGCCCTAGTCAGGTTGATGTGTGAATACAGAGAGTGACTGTGGAGAGGCCATTATGCGTTGTTACTGCCAGTCAGCTGTCCTGGCATCTGACCAGAGGCGTGACCGTACGCTTTAATAATGCAGGGCTGTTGATCACTCTAAATGATTGATGATGGAGAGGTCTCAGTGATAACACACGCAGAGGAACACAACACTACTCATAGTATCACTCAACTCTTTCTCTCTCTCTCTCTCATGCTTTCGTCCTCTTTTAAACGCTTTCTACTCCGCTCTCTCTTTGGTTCGGTATCTTCCTGCCAGTGAACTGTTGTGTGGTTGGGTGTAATGCACTGTCATATAGCCTACTGGACACACATCCAAACATGGCACAGGAGCTGGATAAGATATTGATACAGACTCTCTCTCACTCTGTCTCTCTATCTCTCAGTTTGGTATCATCCTGCCAGTGAACTTTTGTGTGGTTGTGTGTAATGGTCTAAAACGATGGAAAGAGCAGCCTATATGTGCACTGGCAGGCCTGATCAACGACGACGATGAGACAGCCTATAGGACTGCATCACCGCTTGGTATGGCAATTGCTTGGCATCCGATCGCAAGGCGCTACAGAGGGTAGAGCGTATGGCCCAGTACATCACTGGAGCTCAGCTCCCTGCCATCCAGGACCTCTATACCAGCCGGCGTCAGAGGAAGGCCCAGGAAATTACTCCAGCCACCCAAATCATAGACTGTTCTCTCTGCTACCGCACGGCAAGCGGTACTGATTCACCAAGTCTGGAACCAACAGGACCCTGAACAGCTTCTACCCCCAAGCCATAACACTGCTAAATAGTTAGTTAAGTAGTTAATCAAATAGCTACCCAGACTATCTGAATTGACCCTTTTTGCACTAACCTTTTTGACACATCACATATGCTGCTGCTACTGTTTATTATCTATCCTGTTGCCTAGTCACTTTATTCCTAGTTATATGTACAGTGAGGGAAAAAAGTATTTGATCCCCTGCTGATTTTGTACGTTTGCCCACTGACAAAGAAATTATCAGTCTATAATTTTAATGGTAGGTTTATTTGAACAGTGAGAGACAGAATAACAACAAAAAAATCCAGAAAAACGCATGTCAAAAATGTTATAAATGTATTTGCATTTTAATAAGGGAAATACGTATTTGACCCCCTCTCAATCAGAAAGATTTCTGGCTCCCATGTGTCTTTTATACAGGTAACAAGCTGAGATTAGGAGCACACTCTTAAAGGGAGTGCTCCTAATCTCAGTTTGTTACCTGTATAAAAGACACCTGTCCACAGAAGCAATCAATCAATCAGATTCTAAACTCTCCACCATGGCCAAGACCAAAGAGCTCTCCAAGGATGTCAGGGACAAGATTGTAGACCTACGCAAGGCTGGAATGGGCTACAAGACCATCGCCAAGCAGCTTGGTGAGAAGGTGACAACAGTTGGTGCGATTATTCGCAAATGGAAGAAACACAAAAGAACTGTCAATCTTCCTCGGCCTGGGGCTCCATGCAAGATCTCACCTTGTGGAGTTGCAATGATCATGAGAACGGTGAGGAATCAGCCCAGAACTACACAGGAGGATCTTGTCAATGATCTCAAGGCAGCTGGGACCATAGTCACCAAGCAAACAATTGGTAACACACTACGCCGTGAAGGACTGAAATCCTGCAGCGCCCGCAAGGTCCCCCTGCTCAAGAAAGCACATATACAGGCCCGTCTGAAGTTTGCCAATGAACATCTGAATGATTCAGAGGAGAACTGGGTGAAAGTGTTGTGGTCAGATGAGACCAAAATCGAGCTCTTTGGCATCAACTCAACTCGCCGTGTTTGGAGGAGGAGGAATGCTGCCTATGACCCCAAGAACACCATCCCCACCGTCAAACATGGAGGTGGAAACATTATGCTTTGGGGGTATTTTTCTGCTAAGGGGACAGGACAACTTCACCGCATCAAAGGGACGATGGACAGGGCCATGTACCGTCAAATCTTGGGTGAGAACCTCCTTCCCTCAGCTAGGGCATTGAAAATGGGTCGTGGATGGGTAAACCTTAATGACTTGGAGAAGATCTGCAAAGAGGAGTGGAACAAAATCCCTCCTGAGATGTGTGCAAACCTGGTGGCCAACTACAAGAAACATCTGACCTCTGTGATTGCCAAAAAGGGTTTTGCCACCAAGTACTAAGTCATGTTTTGCAGAGGGGTCTTTCTGATTGAGAGGGGGTCAAATACTTATTTCCCTCATTAAAATGCAAATCAATATATAACATTTTTGACATGCATTTTTCTGGATTTTGTTGTTGTTATTCTGTCTCTCACTGTTCAAATAAACCTACCATTAAAAGTATAGACTGATCATGTCTTTGTCAGTGGGCAAACGTACAAAATCAGCAGGGGATCAAATACTTTTTTCCCTCACTGTACATATCTACCTCAATTACCTTGTACCCCTGCACATCGACTCGGTACCGGTACCTCGTGTATATAGACATGTTATCGTTACTCATTGTGTATTTATTATGACTTGTATTATTACATGTTTTACTTTTCTATTATTTCTCTATTTTCTCTCTGCATTGTTGGGAAGGGCCCGTAAGTCGGCATTTCACTGATAGTCTACACTAGGGCTGTGGCGGTCATTACATTTTGTCAGCCGGTGATTGTCAAGCAAATAACTGCCGATCTCACAGTAATTGACCGTTAATTAGCATAAGCACGTTTAGGTGCAGACCTTTGGAACATCTTCATTTAAAAAAGTATAAGAAATCCATTAAATATAGCCTACACCATCACAATAAATCCATTATTTATTTTAGAAAGGTCTAAAGAAACATGATATGAAGAAAATGTAGTCTATTTCAGAAGAACAGAATAGCATACTCTGAGTTGTCCTTATGTTAGACCCTGATATGGCTATGCCATATGGATGTGGGCTACACTAGTTCATTTAGTAGACAAGATTTCCTTAGAATTCTGTGGCATTGTTTTATTATTTTATAGTATGAATAAAATGTAATATAGCTTAATAAATTAGAAAGGATATTTTCACCAAGCGATTTCAAAGGAAGTGCGCACATGCGGCTATTCTGTGTTGAGCGGTTAACAAAGAAACTGGTCCTCCTATATGCTTAATTTAGAGTTATTATGCAACTTTAGTTGTGAGACATAAATTGGGCTAGCTAAGTTGGTAGAGCATGGCGCTTGCAACGCCAGGGTTGTGGGGCCAGTATGAAAAATGTATGCACTCACTAACTGTAAGTCGCTCTGGATAAGAGCGTCTGCTAAATGACTAAAATGTAAATGAAAATGTAATACATTCTAAGGCTGCATGATGGGACTCTAATGATGATTTGAAAAAAGTTGCAAGCTGCACACACTTCATCAGTCTCTCATTCACAATTTGACAAGCACTTGATAATATTCTCACCAGGCCTCGAATTTCTCGGCAGCATCCCCATTGTGTGGCTGTAATACCCCCTAAAAAATCCATGCCTTTTGCAGCTTAAGTGGCTGTTGTGCCCTTGGGCTGAAAATAATAGGCTAATTATAATTCCCTTCTCCCGGCTGCCGTGCTCCGAAGCACCTCTCACTCACAATCCTCTCTCAGATGTAGCCAATGACCCATCACGTGATCGGGTCCTTCTCACAGGCATTTCAGCTAAGTAGGCTACAAGTGAATGAAGCCAGACACATCGGGGACGCAATTGCACGCGTCCCTATTATTGAATTCCGAGGCACATATTGAGTATGTTAGAACTGTCCACATTTACTTTTCGTCAGCCAACAAGATGAGTAGGCCTAATGAACAGCAAAAGCTCTAGCCTATGTCAATCTACTATCCCCCATAGTACAAAAGTTGACCTATTCTATTGGTCAACTTGTCCTTCTGTGCAATAAATAAATATTCCAAACATACTCTGGGACAGTTATTAATACAACCACCCGCATCAAAAAAGCTTTAAAAGCAATGAGGCTGATTGTTTAGCTTATAATGTTGATAAACTATTAGGCATTTTTTTCACATTATAGGCCAAAGCACAGCAATGCACACATGGCAGTAGGCTATAAGTGTGAATGTTCCAAAATGCAATCAGTTGGCGGGAAAACACTGTTCTCGAATGTGACGGCAAATGTGATTATGCATGTAATGCTTTATTATAAAGGTGCATTTTTATGGTGAAAATTATCTTCCCCAAACTTGAAACTCACTATGTTTGCCATTTAGGCTCTAAACCGGTTGTAAAGCAGATTAATGTGCTTAATTTTAAGAAGTTATTTGGCCAATTTAGTTGTGATACAAACCTTATCAAAACATATAGGCCTATGGTCTAGGCTACATGAGGTGTGCGACTATGATTGGAAAAAGTCGGCAAAAAAGGTATGCGCTGTTTCTTGCCTTAATGCACACGCTGGGCATCATTCACAAGTGACAATACATAATTCACAAGTGATAGGCTAATATTGTCTCCCATCAGACTATTCTTAATTTAATGTTGTCTTTACATATACTAAATAATATATGTGTGATATTAGTTTTGATTTAGAATGGACCATTATCATGCACCTGTCTCGGAACAGGGGGAAAAAAAATACAAGTCATCTATGCACTTAAATAGCGAATGAAGGACTATGCACTTACATAGCGAATTGAGGACGCTTTTCCCATGGTTCATTTTCATGCCAGCCAGGTAGGCTATACTCCTGTTGTAAAGCGAAGCAATGTGCTTAATATTAGGAAAGTTGAGAAATAAATATAGCAGGCCTAGCCTATAGAAAGCTGATGGGATCCTCCTCTTTTTAATAGAGGCCATCGCTCTGTTTTCTCACGCAATCACATAGCCTATAGAAATGTTGCGCAACATGTGCTCATGGGCACTCATGAAGTGTTTGATTAGATTTTCGGTTACATTTGTTTTGATGTCAGAGTGATTAGAGGGACAATAGAGTGCTGAGTACCAGGCAGTTAGCAAGTTTGGTAGGCTACTAATGACCATCAGCAGCATCAGAGCTTGGAGAAGCATAATTACCGTTTTTTTTTTTAAAATTTTTTGTTTTTTTAAACCTTTATTTAACCAGGTAAGCCAGTTGAGAACAAGTTCTCATTTACAACTGCGACCTGGCCAAGATAAAGCAAAGCAGTGCGATAAAAACAACAACACAGAGTTACATATGGGGTAAAAAAACAGAAAGTCAAAAAATACAACAGAAAATATATATACAGTGTGTGCAAATGTAGCAAGTTATGGAGGTAAGGCAATAAATAGGCTATAGTGCAAAATAATTACATTTAGTATTAATACTGGAATGCTAGATGTGCAAGAGATTATGTGCAAATAGAGATACTGGGGTGCAAAAGAGCAAAATAAATAACAATATAGGGATGAGGTAGTTGGGTGGGCTAATTTCAGATGGGCTGTGTACAGGTGCAGTGATCGGTAAGGTGCTCTGACAACTGATGCTTAAAGTTAGTGAGGGAGATAAGAGTCTCCAGCTTCAGAGATTTTTGCAATTCGTTCCAGTCATTGGCAGCAGAGAACTGGAAGGAATGGCGGCCAAAGGAGGTGTTGGCTTTGGGGATGACCAGTGAGATATACCTGCTGGAGCGCAGACTACGGGTGGGTGCTGCTATGGTGACCAATGAGCTAAGATAAGGCGGGGATTTGCCTAGCAGTGATTTATAGATGGCCTGGAGCCAGTGGGTTTGACGACGAACATGTAGTGAGGACCAGCCAACAAGAGCGTACAGGTCACAGTGGTGGGTAGTGTATGGGGCTTTGGAGACAAAACGGATGGCACTGTGATAGACTACATCCAATTTGCTGAGTAGAGTGTTGGAGGCTATTTTGTAAATGACATCGCCGAAGTCAAGGATCGGTAGGATAGTCAGTTTTACGAGGGCATGTTTGGCAGCATGAGTGAAGGAGGCTTTGTTGCGAAATAGGAAGCCGATTCTAGATTTAACTTTGGATTGGAGATTCTTAATGTGAGTCTGGAAGGAGAGTTTACAGTCTAACCAGACACCTAGGTATTTGTAGTTGTCCACATACTCTAGGTCAGACCCGTCGAGAGTAGTGATTCTAGTCGGGTGGGCGGGTGCCAGCAGCGTTCGATTGAAGAGCATGCATTTAGTTTTACTAGTGTTTAAGAGCAGTTGGAGGCTACTGAAGGAGTGTTGTATGGCATTGAAGCTCGTTTGGAGGTTTGTTAACACAGTGTCCAATGAAGGGCCAGATGTATACAAAATGGTGTCGTCTGCGTAGAGGTGGATCTGAGAGTCACCAGCAGCAAGAGCGACATCATTGATATACACGGAGAAAAGAGTCGGCCCAAGAATTGAACCCTGTGGCACCCCCATAGAGACTGCCATAGGTCCAGACAACAGGCCCTCCGATTTGACACATTGAACTCTATCTGAGAAGTAGTTGGTGAACCAGGCGAGGCAGTCATTTGAGAAACCAAGGCTATTTAGTCTGCCAATAAGAATGCGGTGGTTGACAGAGTCGAAAGCCTTGGCCAGGTCGATGAAGACGGCTGCACAGTACTGTCTATTATCGATCGCGGTTATAATATCATTTAGGACCTATGACTAAACATTGGACAGGCCAAACATTGGACAGGAGCTGTGCCGATGCAGACATCATGTCTGTTTGCGTACTGGGAGCAGCAGAGAATGAGTGGACATTAGTCTTTCATAAACTATTTCCTATTTAGTGAGCTGAACACGCATTTATTGTGTGGTCTGTCATACTCATTAATAATCATAATTAATCATTTAGCAGACGCTCTTATCCAGAGCAACTTACAGGAGCAATTAGGGTTAAGTGCCTTGCTCAAGGGCACATCGACAGATTTTTCACCTAGTCGGCTCAGGGATTAGAACCAGCGACCTTTCGGTTACTGGCACAACGCTCTTAACCACTACGCTACCTGCCGCCTCATAGACTATATCATACTCATAGTCTATATCATACTCATAGACTATATCATACTAATAGACTGTATCATACTCATAGACTGTATCATACTCATAGACTATATCATAGACTATATAATACTCATAGACTATATAATACTCATAGACTATATCATACTCATAGACTATATCATAGACTATATCATACTCATAGACTATATCATAGACTATATCATACTCATAGACTATTTCATACTCATAGACTATTCATCATAGACTATATCATAGACTATTCATAGACTATTTCATACTCATAGACTATATCCCACAGGGAATCATGTTTTGTGAGACAGACAGACAGACAGCATCTCTCTGTTATTGTAGCAGTATGAATGGCTGTCTTCATCAGGCACTTCTGTTCTGTTCTGATTAATGTGTTCTTCACATATTAGATATTCTATCATATTAATCATGTTGTATTATCATTAATCATGAAGCATTGTCATTCTCCTGATGTTGCTTATTATGGAGAGTCGAAAACTGACACAGAGACACAGACACTGCTGAATCTGCTAAATCTGACATGTCTTGTCACTGCTCGTCTGCAAACAAATTACAACAATCAACATACAACACCTGTCACCTGTTCTGCAGTAGCCGGTGTGTGTTCAGATAGAAATGCATTATGTAGAACAGATATGACTGTCTGTCGTGTTGAATAGGGGATCCTATCAGCTCTATTCAGACTATTTCTACTGCTACTTTCACCTTACTGGTTAACCCTACTGAATACACCATGCCAGGTGTTTGTTAGTTTGACACCAGGGTGGGTGTTGGCAATGCAGAGCTCAGAGTAGGAATGCTGACCTAGGATCAGTTGAGCCTTTTAGATCATAAAAGAGGGGGGGGGGGGGGGGGCTGATCAGCATTCCTACTCTGAGACGCTGTATGGGCCCAGGTGTGTGTTTGTCACCCAGCTGGTTTTTGGCGGTTCAGAACTGACCTGATGCAGAGAACTTGTATCCGTCTGGGATGTGGTTCATGTGCGTGCGTTAGCCCCTCCGCACCAGAGCGAGCAGCAGAATCCCTCAGGCTGAGGGGGAGTGGAAGTGACTGGTAGCGTTTCAGAAGATGACCATCGCTATGAGGCCCACGCTCAAGGACGACAACTCGCCCCCTTTTCTCCTCTGTCTCTATGGACCTCATATTCCTCCAGTGTGATGACGTGTTAGTGCTGATGAAGATGGGGAGCCACAGTAATAAATCATATAAATAATAATAGTAGAATTAAGGAATAAGGCCCAAGAGGGTGTGGTAAATGGCCAATATACCACGGCTAAGGGCTGTTCTTACGCACGACGCAACGCGGAGTACCTGGATACAGCCCGTAGCTGTGGTATATTGGCCATATACCACAAACCCCCCAAGGTGCCTTATTGCTTTATAAACTGGTTACCAACGTAATTAGAAGAGTGAAAATAAATGTTTTGTCATACTCTTGGTATACGGTCTGTTATACCGCAGCTGTCAGCCAATCAGCATTCAGGGCTCGAACCACCCAGTTTCTAATAACATATACAGTGAGGGAAAAAAGTACTTGATCCCCTGCTGATTTGTACGTTTGCCCACTGACAAAGAAATGATCAGTCTATAATTTTAATGGTAGGTTTATTTGAACAGTGAGAGACAGAATAACAACAAAAAAATCCAGAAAAACGCATGTCAAAAATGTTATAAATTGATTTGCATTTTAATGAGGGAAATAAGTATTTGACCCCCTCTCAATCAGAAAGATTTCTGGCTCCCAGGTGTCTTTTATACAGGTAACGAGCTGAGATTAGGAGCACACTCTTAAAGGGAGTGCTCCTAATCTCAGTTTGTTACCTGTATAAAAGACACCTGTCCACAGAAGCAATCAATCAATCAGATTCTAAACTCTCCACCATGGCCAAGACCAAAGAGCTCTCCAAGGATGTCAGGGACAAGATTGTAGACCTACACAAGGCTGGAATGGGCTACAAGACCATCGCCAAGCAGCTTGGTGAGAAGGTGACAACAGTTGGTGCGATTATTCGCAAATGGAAGAAACACAAAAGAACTGTCAATCTCCCTCGGCCTGGGGCTCCATGCAAGATCTCACCTCGTGGAGTTGCAATGATCATGAGAACGGTGAGGAATCATCCCAGAACTACACGGGAGGATCTTGTCAATGATCTCAAGGCAGCTGGGACCATAGTCACCAAGAAAACAATTGGTAACACACTACGCCGTGAAGGATTGAAATCCTGCAGCGCCCGCAAGGTCCCCCTGCTCAAGAAAGCACATATACAGGGCCGTCTGAAGTTTGTCAATGAACATCTGAATGATTCAGAGGAGAACTGGGTGAAAGTGTTGTGGTCAGATGAGACCAAAATGGAGCTCTTTGGCATCAACTCAACTCGCCGTGTTTGGAGGAGGAGGAATGCTGCCTATGACCCCAAGAACACCATCCCCACCGTCAAACATGGAGGTGGAAACATTATGCTTTGGGGGTGTTTTTCTGCTAAGGGGACAGGACAACTTCACCGCATCAAAGGGACGATGGACGGGGCCATGTACCGTCAAATCTTGGGTGAGAACCTCCTTCCCTCAGCCAGGGCATTGAAAATGGGTCGTGGATGGGTATTCCAGCATGACAATGACCCAAAACACACGGCCAAGGCAACAAAGGAGTGGCTCAAGAAGAAGCACATTAAGGTCCTGGAGTGGCCTAGCCAGTCTCCATACCTTAATCCCATAGAAAATCTGTGGAGGGAGCTGAAGGTTCAAGTTGCCAAACGTCAGCCTCGAAACCTTAATGACTTGGAGAAGATCTGCAAAGAGGAGTGGGACAAAATCCCTCCTGAGATATGTGCAAACCTGGTGGCCAACTACAAGAAACGTCTGACCTCTGTGATTGCCAACAAGGGTTTTGCCACCAAGTACTAAGTCATGTTTTGCAGAGGGGTCAAATACTTATTTCCCTCATTACAATGCAAATCAATTTATAACATTTTTTGCATGCGTTTTTCTGGATTTTTTTGTTGTTATTCTGTCTCTCACTGTTCAAATAAACCTACCATTAAAATTATAGACTGATCATGTCTTTGTCAGTGGGCAAACGTACAAAATCAGCAGGGGATCAAATACTTCTTTCCCTCACTGTATGTGACCGACCGGCTCGATTTGGTCTTATGTAGCAAAATTTGAAATGGTGTTTTTTACATTGGATAAAAGTAGAGACTACACTACAGTTGAGGAACAATGGGAAAGTAAATCTGCTTTGAAAGTTGATAAACTTGTAACCTCACTTTTGAGAAAATGGCCTATGAATGTTTTGGCACACTCAGTCAAGAGTGCTCTGAAATCGGAGTAGATAGCCAGAGCGAATTTACCAGCTCCGTCTATCAACAGCTGTCGCAGTGACGTCATAAACATTCTATTAAAATGAATACTTGCATAGTGGAGTCTTTTGTTAAGACATGTAACTAGCTAGCTAAACATTGGAACCATAATCCCAACTCATGACATTACTACCCTGCATGCCTCCTGTAGCTCAGTTGGTAGAGCATGGCGCTTGCAACGCCAGGGTTGTGTTAGCTAGCTAACATTAGGCTATAACTAGCAAAGCAAATGGCTCTGAGATACGAATAATATTACTACACAGATCATACATGTAACGTTAGCTAGCGAGCCAGCCAGCTAACGTTAGCTAACTAGCTAACAGTACACTTTAACTTGAAATGAAAACGACTTTCTAACAAACATAGAAATTTGCAATATCGGAAAATGTAGCTAGCTAAACTATTTTACCCGTATACATGGATGGACGCTTCTCCCTCTCTGTCACGGATGCCATAGTTGCCCTTAGTTTGAAGATGTAATACGGAGACAGGTGTTTTCTCCTTAGCTATCATACTCTAATTCCACTGATTTCAAAACTCTGTCCTCTAGAAAGTGGAGAGCAACACTTATGCAGTTCTACTACGCAATATATATTTTTTAAAGCAGTGTTAGACAGGATTACCTACACATACTGACCAGCTCAAATAGACAGAAGCGTGCTACATGGCTGACCAATCCGAACTCATCTCTCGGCATGTCCAGCCCACTCATTATCTCAGCCAATCATGGCTAGTGGGAAGGTTGCTTTCTTTTTCTGTGGCTAAACCAACTAGGCTCATAATTTAACAATTGTATTCGTATTTACAGATGGCATACAAGTTTGTTATTAAGGCCATTGAAAGTTCACATGTTCCAGATGGCATTTCTGCCAGAAAATGCATTTGGATAATTTTTTTTAGTTGACGTTCAAATGGCTCTCCTGTGAAGTAGTGACGCGCGACATATGCCTAGTTACCTGAAACGAGTCACATATGACATTTAAAGTAGAGACACCAGTAGTTATGTAGCCTATACTTGTTGTCTACTCTTAATCTCACTGGTTCACTGTACTGCACATATCCACCAAAGCTATTCACTGGACTGGATGAGAATATCATCTTTATTATTTGAAGAACATATTTCAAACACTTGTAGTACCACTCATCTAAAGACATGTGGTCTTGCATAATATACTTCTACCAATGTAAATGTATTGTTACCAACTACTCAATAACAAAACGTGATTCCCCCAACGTAGCTTGTGTAAAAAGTGATAGCTGACAAGTGTGTGTTTCTACATGTCTCCAGGTGTTCAACACCTACTGTAACGAGGACTATGACAGGAGGAATGAGGAGGTGGACCCAGTGGCCTCATCAGCAGAGTACGAGCTGGAGAAGAGGGTGGAGAAACTGGAGCTGTTCCCTGTAGAGCTGGAGAAAGGTACATAGACCTGGGGCCGATCTCAAATAGACCCATATAATCATAACCTCAATGCACTATCCCGTCACTCCCTACCCCCTATGCACTTCATGTACAGTGCCTTCAGAAAGTATTCACACCCCTTAACTTTATTCACATTTTGTTGTGTTACAGCCTGAACTTAAAATTTATTAAATTGAGATTTTTTGTCACTGGCCTACACACAATACCCCTTAATGTCAAAGTGGAATTATGTTTTACAAATGAATACAAAATGAAAAGCTCAAATGTCTTGAGTCAATAAGTATTCAACCCCTTTGTTATGGCAAGCCTAAATAAGTTCAGGAGTAAAGATGTGCTTGACAAGTCACATAATAAGTTGCATGGACTCACTCTGTGTGCAATACTAGTGTTTAATATGATTTTTGAATGGCTACCTCATCTCTGTACCCCACACATACAATTATGTGTAAGGTCCCTCAATCGAGCAGTGAATTTCAAGCACTGATTCAACTACAAAGACCACGGAGGTTTTCCAATGCCTAGCAACAAAGGGCACCTATTGGTAGATGGGTAAAAATAAAAAAAGTAGACATTGAATACCTCTTTGAGCATGGTGAAGTTATTAATTACACTTTAGATGGTGTATCGATAAACACAGTAACTACAAAGATTCAGGCGTCCTTCCTAACTCAGTTGCCGGAGAGGAAGGAAACCGCTCAGGGATTTCACCATAAGGCCAATGGTGACTTTAAAACATTTACAGTGGCTGTGATAGGAGAAAACTGAGGATGGATCAACAACATTGTAGTTACTCCACAATACTAACCTAAATGACAGAGTGAAAAGAAGGAAGCCTGTACAGAATAATAAATATTCCAAAGCATCCATCCTGTTTGCAATAAGGCACTGAAGTAAAACTGCAAAAATGTGGCAAAGAAATTAACTTTATGTCCTGAATACAAAGCGTTATGTTTGGGGCAAAGCCAACACATCACTAATTACCGCTCTTCATATTTTCAAGCATGGTGGTGGCTGCATCATCTTATGGGTATGCTTGTCATCAGCAAGGACTAAGGAGTTTTTTAGGACAAAAATAAATGGAATAGTGCTAAGCACAGGGTTAGAGCTAAGCACCGGCTTGAAAATCTATGTCAAGGCTTGAAAATCTATGTCAAGGCTTGAAAATCTATGTCAAGGCTTGAAAATCTATGTCAAGGCTTGAAAATATCAGTCTAGCAATGATCAAGAACCAATTTGAATAATTTTTAAAAGAATAATGTGCAAATATTGTACAATCCAGGTGTGTAAAGCGCTTAGCGACTTACCCACAAAGACTCACAGCTGTAATCACTTCCAAAGGTGATTCTAACGTATTGAAAACGTATCTAATAAAGATATATTTTATTTTTCATACATTTTTTACAAATGTTAGAATCTTTCCTCCGCTTTGAATTTACAGAGCATTTTGTGTAGATAGTTGACAAAAAATGACAATTAAATCAATTTTAATCCCACTTTGTAAGACAACAAAATGTGTCAAGGGGTGTGAACACTTTCTGAAGGCACTCGTCCCTTACTTTCTGAACATTCATAAACCACATTGCTTATACCTGTCCAATCCTTTCTGGTTTACACAAATGCGTAGTGAGTAGTGATTGGGGTCGATTTGGGGTTAGCCATAAAATGTTGCCCTGATAAAACAGAAGAGAAAATACAAAGCAATATTTTGCAAGCTCGGATCTGCAGGATTTGGGTTAGATAGTGTCTGCAGGGTTAGGGTTAGATAGTTTCTGCAGGGTTAGATAGTGTCTGCAGGGTTAGATAGTGTCTGCAGGGTTATATAGTGTCTGCAGGGTTAGCTAGTGTCTGCAGGGTTAGCTAGTGTCTGCAGGGTTAGATAGTGTCTGCAGGGTTAGATCGTGTCTGCAGGGTTAGATAGTGTCTGCAGGGTTAGATAGTGTCTGCAAGGTTAGATAGGGTCTGCAGGGTTAGATAGTGTCTGCAGGGTTAGGGTTAGATCGTGCCTGCAGGGTTAGATAGTATCTGCAGGGTTAGATAGTGTCTGCAGGGTTAGATAGTGTCTGCAGGGTTAGATCGTGTCTGCAGGGTTAGATCGTGTCTGCAGGGTTAGATAGTGTCTGCAGGGTTAGATAGTGTCTGCAGGGTTAGATAGTGTATGCAGGGTTAGATAGTGTCTGCAGGATTAGATAGTGTCTGCAGGATTAGATTGTGTCTGCAGGGTTAGATAGTGTCTGCAGGGTTAGATAGTGTCTGCAGTGTTAGGGTTAGATAGTGTCTGCAGGGTTAGCTAGTGTCCGCAGTGTTAGGGTTAGCTAGTGTCTGACGGGTTAGGGTTAGATAGTGTCTGACGGGTTAGGGTTAGATAGTTTCTGCAGGGTTAGCTAGTGTCCGCAGGGTTAGGGTTAGATAGTGTCTGCAGGGTTAGATAGTGTCTGCAGGGTTAGATAGTGTCTGCAGGGTTAGATAGTGTCTGCAGGGTCCTCTCTTCAGTTTCCATCTTTACCTCATCCTTTGATGAAGGGGATTCTGCAGCATTAGTACAATTTCAATCAACCAAATTTACATTTTAGTAATTTAGCAGACACTCTTATCCAGAGCGACTTCATACATTTTGGTACTTTTTCATACTTATCCCCTGTTGGAATTGAACCCACAACCCTGGCATTGCAAGTGCCATGCACTACCAACTGAGCCACCCGGGAGGACGAATGGCACCCTATACCCTATATAGTGCACTACTGTTAATCAGGGTCCATAGGGCTCTGGTCAAATCTTTTATTTATTTCACCTTTATTTAACCAGGTAAGCCAGTTGAGAACAAGTTCTCATTTACAACTGCGACCTGGCCAAGATAAAGCAAAGCAGTGCGATAAAAACAACAACACAGAGTTACATAAAAAAAAAAAAAACATCAAGTCAAAAATACAACAGAAAATAGAAAATCTATATACAGTGTGTGCAAATGTAGCAAGTTATGGAGGTAAGGCAATAAATAGGCCATAGTGCAAAATAATTACAATTAGTATTAACACTGGAATGATAGATGTGCAAGAGATGATGTGCAAATAGAGATATTGGGGTGCAATTGAGCAAAATAAATAACAATATGGGGATGAGGTAGTTGGGTGGGCTAATTACAGATGGGCTGTGTACAGGTGCAGTGATCGGTAAGGTGCTCTGACAACTGATGCTTAAAGTTAGTGAGGGAGATAAGAGTCTCCAGCTTCAGAGAACTTTGCAGTTCGTTCCAGTCATTGGCAGCAGAGAACTGGAAGGAATGGCGGCCAAAGGAGGTGTTGGCTTTGGGGATGACCAGTGAGATATACCTGCTGGAGCGCATACTACGGGTGGGTGTTGCTATGGTGACCAATGAGCTAAGATAAGGCGGGGATTTGCCTAGCAGTGATTTATAGATGGCCTGGAGCCAGTGGGTTTGGCGACGAAGATGTAGTGAGGACCAGCCAACAAGAGCGTACAGGTCACAGTGGTGGGTAGTATATGGGGCTTTGGTGACAAAACGGATGGCACTGTGATAGACTACATCCAATTTGCTGAGTAGAGTGTTGGAGGCTATTTTGTAAATGACATCGGCGAAGTCAAGGATCGGTAGGATAGTCAGTTTTACGAGGGCATGTTTGGCAGCATGAGTGAAGGAGGCTTTGTTGCGAAATACGAAGCCGATTCTGGATTTAACTTTGGATTGGAGATGCTTAATGTGAGTCTGGAAGGAGAGTTTACAGTCTAACCAGACACCTAGGTATTTGTAGTTGTCCACATACTCTAGGTCAGACCCGTAGAGAGTAGTGATTCTAGTCGGGTGGGCGGGTGCCAGCAAATGAAGTGCATTAGGGGACCATTTGTGACACAAACCTAGAATAGAATTCTTTACATTGTATGATTCTCTCCTCTCCTGTTATGCAATCCTTGAGAGGACCATTAATTATTTAATTGGAGTGTAATTGTTTCATAATGGAAAGGAATTTCCCGTCCATGTTTTCCATTTCAGTGGGACCATTGATGTATTTTGTAGATCAATCCTACTCCATTAATAGATCAATCATCTAATCTCTCAAGTGCTGTATCTATCTATCTATCCCTCCCTCCTACCCACAGTCAGGGGGCTGACATTGGGGATGGTATTGACTGAAACACACACACACAGGGCACCCCCCCCCCCTTCTCTCTCTCAGACACACAGACATACACACTTGCCATTGTATAACTACTGTCTCCTCTCTGCCCAGATGACGATGGCCTTGGTATCAGTATCATAGGGATGGGAGTGGGTGCTGACGCCGGTCTGGAGAAACTTGGCATCTTCGTCAAGACTGTCATTGAGGGCGGGGCAGCTGAAAGAGATGACAGGTAAGAGCTTTCTGCTTCCTGAGAAGGTGCCAACTCAATCCCTGTACACACACACACACACACACACACACACACACACACACACACACACACACACACACACACACACACACACACACACCAGTCCTCATTGCCCAGAGAGATTTAGCAGCAGGGGTCTGGGATTACAGTCAGGCGGGAGGCACGGCCTGAAATTGAAGGAACGGCTCTGGGATGTTATCACACTCTGCAGCTGCAGGAAACAGTGTGTGTGTGTGTGTGTGTGTGTGTGTGTGTGGGTGTGGATGTGTGGGGGGGTGCGTGGGTGCTTGCGTGTGCATGCATAATATAATATAACATAATATACACTACGGGCATATCAAAGTGCTAGTGTTTAAGTTAGTAGTAGGCAATGTAACCATAGTAGGCAATGTAACCAATCACAGCCCTCCTTTTACTTGTATCATTGCACATCCTGCAAGTCACCAGCAGAGGGCGACCATTTTGAATCAATTTTCACATTCACTCTGTTGGTAATGCTTACAAATTTACATTTACATATACGTCATTTAGCAGACGCTCTTATACAGAGCGACTTACAGGAGCAATTAGGGTTAAGTAAAATTGGATAATAACTTTAAAAGTAGCAGAGATCCCAATCTGGAACTTCATATGCCCGTAGAGTCTATTATGGTCAACAATATACAAAAAAAATTGCCAAATAAATGTTTTTATATTTTCAATATTCATGTTTATATTTGTCAATATTCATAAACTAATATCAACATATTATTATTATTTTTATCAAAATACTACTCGTATTGCTGAGCAAGAGGTAGAGCTTCATATGACACCAATGTTTGCTTTTTAACACCTATAGATGAAACAATATGGAGTCTTAAAGGAGGTGTGGGTAATGCCAAAATGTCATAAATATGCCAACTTTGATCAATTATTTCTCAATTATGCTTTTAGATACACATGGCAAATATATGTCAACAATCCTTCTTCCAAAGGACTATTCTATGGATTACATTTCGTGAAAATATTTTTTTGTCTGGGTTTTGTGAGGAATCACTCAACACAGAGCTCAGATTTCATAGTCACACATGCACACATGCATGGACGCATGCACACACACACACAGGAAGAGAGAGAAAACCACTCTGCATCATCTTCCACTGAGCCTCCCAGTCCCACCCCACACCTCGCTTAAATCTGAGGGTTGATCGGAACGTGGTCTTGGTGAGAGATTTAATGTGAGACAGAGAGGCCTGTGGGTGTGTGTGTGTGTGTGTGTGTGTGTGTGTGTGTGTGTTAGTGTGTTTGTCAAATTAAATCAATAAATCACATTTTATTTGTCACGTGATTTGTAAACAACAGGTGTAGACTAACAGTGAAATGTCTATTTACGGGGCCCTTCCCAACAATGCAGAGAGAAAGAAAATAGAGAAATCATAGAAAAGTAAAACGCATAATAATAAAAGTAATAATAGATACACAATGAGTAACGATAACTTGGCTATATACACGAGGTACCGGTACCGAGTCAATGTGCAGGGGTACGAGGTAATTGAGGTAGATATGTACATAAAACTAGGAATAAAGTGACTAGGCAACAGGATAGATAATAAACAGTAGCAGCAGCGTATGTGATGAGTTAAAAAAGTTAGTGCAAAAAGGGTCAATGCAAATAGTCCGGGTAGCAATTTAGTTAACTATTTAACTAACTGTTCAGTGTCCTGTTGGTTCAAGACTTGGTGCATCGGTACCACTTGCCATGCGGTAGCAGAGTGAACAGTCTATGACTTGGGTGGCTGGACATCGCTGGGTATAGAGGTCCTGGATGGCAGTGAGCTCGGCCCCAGTGATGTACTGGCCGTGCGCACTACCCTCTGTAGTGCCTTGTAGTCGGATGCCAAGCAGTTGTCATACCAAGTGGTGATACAGCAAGTCAAGATGCTCTCAATGGTGCAGCTGTATAACCTTTTGAGGATCTGAGGGCCCATGCCAAATCTTTTCAGCCTCCTGAGGGGGAAGAGACGTTGCGTGTGGACCATGATAGATCCTTAGTGATGTTGACACCGAGGAACTTGAAGCTCTCGACCTGCTCCACTACAGTCCTATCGATGTGACGTTGAGGGAGATGTTGTTGTTGTCCTGGCACCACACTACCAGGTCTCTGACCTCCTCTCTATAAGCTTTCTCATCGTCGTAGGTGATCAGGCCTACCACAGTCGTGTCGTCAGCAAACTTAATGATGGTGTTGGAGTGGAGCGTGGCCACGCAGTCATGGGTGAACAGGAAGTACAGGAGGGGACTAAGCACGCACCCCTGAGGAGCCCCCTTGAGGGTCAGTGTGGCGGATGTGTTGTTGCCTACCCTCACCACCTGGGGATGGCCCGTCAGGAAATCCAGGATCCAGTTGCAGAGGGAGGTGTTCAGTCCCAGGGTCCTTAGCTCAGTGATGCGCTTGGAGGGCACTATGGTGTTGAATGCTGAGCTGTAGTCAATGAACAGCATTCTCACATTGGTATTCCCTTGTCCAGGTTGGAGAGGGCAGTGTGGAGTGCATTAGAGATTGCGTCACCTGTGGATCTGTTGGGGCGGTATGCGAATTGGAGTGGGTCCAGGGTGTCTGGGATTATGGTGTTGATGTGAGCCATGACCAGCCTTTTAAAGCATTTCATGGCTACAGATTTGAGTGCTATGGGGCGATAGTCATTTAGACAGGTTACCTGGGCTTTCTTGGGCACAGGGACTATGGTGGTCTGCTTAAAACATGTAGGTATTACAGACTGGGTCAGGGAGAGGTTCAAAATGTCAGTGACGACACTTCAAATTAAATCAAATCAAATTTGAATGGTCACATACACATATTTAGCAGATGTTATTGCAGGTGTAGCGAAATGCTTGTGTTCCTAGCGCCAACAGTGCAGTAGTATCTAACAATTCACAACAATACACACAAATCTAAAAGTAAAATAATGGAATTAAGAAATATATAAATATTAGGATGAGCAATGTCGGAGTGGCATTGACTAAAATACAGTAGAATAGAATACAGTATATACATATGAAATGAGTAAAGCAGTATGTAAACATTATTAAAGTGACCAGTGATGTATATAGGGCAGCAGCCTCTAAGGTGCAGGATTGAGTAAACGGGTGGTAGCCGGCTAGTGATGGCTATTTAACAGTCTGATGGCCTTGAGATAGAAGCTGTTTTTCAGTGTCTGTCCCAGCTTTGACGCACCTGTACTGACCTCGCCTTCTGGATGGTAGCGGGGTGAACAGGCCGTGGCTCGGATGGTTGATGTCCTTGATCTTTTTGGCCTTCCTGTAACATCGGGTGCTGTAGGTGTCCTGGAGGGCAGGCAGTGTGCCCCCGGTAAGGCATTGGGCAGACCGCACCACCCTCTGGAGAGCCCTGAGGTTGCGGGTGGTGCAGTTGCCGTACCAGGCGGTGATACAGCCCGACAGGTGCTCTCAATTGTGCATCTGTAAAAGTTTGTGAGGGTCTTAGGGACCAGAAGTCCCCACAAGAATAGTAAACCAATAAAAATTTGACCAACTGGGGACATTTTGTTGGTCCCCACAAGGTCAAATGCTATTTCTAGGGGGTTTAGGGTTAAGGTTAGAATTAGTGTTAGGGTTAGAATTAGGTTTAGGGTTAGGAGATCGGGTTCGTTTTAGGGTTAGGGTTAAGGTTAGGTTTTTGGGTTAAGGGTAAGGCTACGAGTTAGGGTTAGGTTTAGGGTTAGGGGTTAGGGAAAATAGGATTTTGAATGGGACTGAATTGTATGTCCCCACAAGGTTAGCTGCGCAAGACTGTGTGTGTGTGTGTGCGTGTGTGCATGTGTGCGTGTGTGCACATTGCTTAACAGTCTAGTCTCGCTAAGGCAGCAGCAACTCTTCCTGGGGTCCTGGGGTCCAAACACATTAAAGCACTTACATTACATATAAAACAAAAAATAAAACAGTACATCATATAACATTATTACACCACTACATATCTACAATACAACATGTATGATACAAAATGTATAATACCACCATACAACAATATTACAATGTATGCGTATGTCTGTACCTTTGTGCTAAATTAAGGCAGTTATACAAAAAACATTACAATACATGCACAACAGATTTCACAACACATGAAGTGTGTGCCCTCAGGCCCTTACTCTACAACCACATATCTACAACACAAAATCCATGTGTACGTGTGAGTATAGTGCCTTGCAAAAGTATTCATCCCCCTTGGCGGTTTTCCTATTTTGTTGCATTACAACCTGTAATTTAAATTGATTTTTATTTGGATTTCATGTAATGGACATACACAAAATAGTCCAAATTGGTGAAGTGAAATAAAAAAAATAACTTGTTTAAAAAAATGCTAGAAAATAAATAACGGAAAAGTAGTGCGTGCATATGTATTCACCCCCTTTGCTATGAAGCCCCTAAATAAGATCTGGTGCAACCAATTACCTTCAGAAGTCACATAATTAGTTAAATAAAGTCCACCTGTGTGCAATCTAAGTGTCACATGATCTGTCACATGATCTCAGTATATATACACCTGTTGTGAAAGGCCCCAGAGTCTGCAACACCACTAAGCAAGGGGCACCACCAAGCAAGCAGCACTCAATTTCCACATTATTCATTACGAGATATAGTTGAGGTTTAGGGTTTAATGAATGATTTGTCCCAAATAAAATGCTTTTAGTTTTGGAAATATTTAGGACTAACTTAGTCCTTGCCACCCATTCTGAAACTAACTGCAGCTCTTTGTTAAGTGTTGCAGTCATTTCAGTTGCTGTAGCAGCTGACTTTAGTGTTGAGTCACCCGCATACATAGACACACTGGCTTTACTCAAAGTCAGTGGCATGTCGTTAGTAAAGATTGAAAGAAGTAAGGGGCCTAAAGAGCTACCCTGGGGAATTCCTGATTCTACCTGGATTATGTTGGAGAGGCTTCCATTAAAGAACACCCTCTGTGTTCTGTTAGACAAGTAACTATTTATCCACAATATAGCAGGGGGTGTAAAGCCAAAACACATTTTTCCAGCAGCAGACTATGATCGATAATGTCAAAAGCTGCACTGAAGTCTAACAAAACAGCCCCCAGAATCTTTTTATCTCAATTTCTCTCAGCCAATCATCAGTAATTTGTGTAAGTCTGTCTGTGTGAGGTGGTTTGTATTCTGTCTGTCTGTCTGTCTGTCTGTCTGAGGTGGTTTGTATTCAGTCTGGTGGCCTGACACCATACAGTATGTCAGTAATCATATCTGTGTTTGTCCACCATCATGACTGGCTGAGTTAGCTGGATGTGACGCCACATTGATTCAGACTGTAAACCGCTGTTAGGTCAGACAGTGTTAGTTTTGACACATTTTAAGTGTCAAAGTTTAAATTCTCAGAATAACTTGGACATCCACCGTATTGATGCTTTGTTACATGGGTATTATAAGGTTATTGCGACCATAGAAGATCTATGTATAGGAAATATTTTTAAAACATGCCCAGGACTTTCACACTAATGTTATCTAAATGAATTATTATGTTCGATTTGTTATATCAAAATGGAATTTCAAAAAGGCAGCCTATTCATCATTGTTTTGTTATAGATATTGAACTGTCACCGCAACAGCCATGTCACAGGCTGTGACTGCGTCCCAAATGGCACCGTATTCACTATGGGCCCTGGTCAAAAGTAGTTCACTATATAGAGAATAGGGTGCCATTTGGGGAACAAACACTCAGATAACCTTGTTTCCTCTGTTGACCAAAGTGCTGTTGGATCACAAGCCCTGGGCGCTAGCAGGCAGCGATAGCTATACATCCTGTCATGTCCTAGCTAACCCCACAGTTTGAATGTAATGCTTTCTGTTTGTTAGGCGATAGTGCTGCTCCACTATTGCAATGGAGAATGGTTGCCTCAAGACAGTCTAGCTGTACTGTATTCAGTAGTTTGATAATTGGCTATTGGACCATTTCTAAACACTCAGCTCACATCATGTGGCCCTTTCACAATAATACATTTTCAAAACCAGATTATGAAATCCCTTGACTTCAATTAGATATTTTCTAAGCATCCCTTACTCAACATCGACTTTTCTCATCACTCTGCAAAGAACCATATCAGTGCATAGTCGACTAGTGCACAGTGGATCCTTTTATATATATATATATATATATACAGTACCAGTCAAAAGTTTGGACACACCTACTCATTCCAGGGTTTTTCTTTATTTTTTACTATTTTCTACATTGTAGAATAATAGTGAAGACATCAAAATTATGAAATAACACAAATAGAATCATGTAGTTAACCAAATCAAAATATATTTTAGATTTTAGATTCTTCAAAGTAGCCACCCTTTGCATTGATGACAGCTTTGCACACTCTTGGCATTATCTCAACCAGCTTCATGAGGTAGTCACCTGGAATGCATTTCAATTAACAGTTGTACCTTGTTAAACTTCATTTGTGGAATTTCTTTCCTTGTTAATGCGTTTGAGCCAATCAGTTGTGTTGTGACAAGGTAAGGGTGGTATACAGAAGGAAGCCCTATTTGGTAAAATACCAAGTCCATATTATGGCAAGAACAGCTCAAATAAGCAAAGAGAAACGAAAGTCCATCATTACTTTAAGACATGAAGGTCAGTCAATCCGGAAACTTTTCAAGAACTTTGAACATTTCTTCAAGCGCAGTCGCAAAACCATCAAGCGCTATGATGAAACTGGCTCTCATGAGGACCGCCACTGGAAAGGAAGACCCAGAGTTACCTCTGCTGCAGAGGATAAGTTCATTAGAGTCACCAGCCTCAGAAATTGCAGCCCAAATAAATGCTTAACAGAGTTCAAGTAACAGACTCATCTCAACATCAACTGTTCAGAGGAGACTGCGTGAATCCGGCCTTCATGCTCGAATTGCTGCAAAGAAACCACTACTAAAGGACGCCAATAATAGGACGAGACTTGCTTGGGCCAAGAAACACGGGCAATGGACATTAGACCGGTGGAAATCTGTTCTTTGGTCTGATGAGTCCAAATGTGAGATTTTTGGTTCCAACCGCAGTGTCTTTGTAAGATGCAGAGTAGGTGAATGGATGATCTCCGCATGTGTGGTTCCCACCGTGAAGCATGGAGGAGGAGGTTTGATGGTGTGGGGGTGCTTTGCTAGTGACACTGTCTGTGATTTATTTAGAATTCAACGCACACTTAACCAGTATGGCTACCACAGCATTCTGCAGCGACACGCCATCCCATCTGGTTTGTGCTTAGTGGGACTATCATTTGTTTTTCAACAGGACAATGACCCAAAACACACCTCCAGGCTTTGTAAGGGCTATTTGACCAAGAAGGAGAGTGATGGAGTGCTGCATCAGATGACCTGGCCTCCACAATTACCTGACCTCAACCCAATTGAGATGGGTTGGGATGAATTGGACTGCAAAGTGAAGGAAAAGCAGCCAACAAGTGCTCAGCGTATGAGGGAACTCCTTCAAGACTGTTGGAAAAGCATTCCTCATGAAGCTGGTTGAGCGAATGCCAAGAGTGTAATAAGCTGTCATCAAGACAAAGTGTGGCTACTTTGAAGAATCTAAAATAAAACATATATTTAGATTTGTTTAACACTTTTTTGGTTACTACAGTGAGGGAAAAAAGTATTTGATCCCCTGCTGATTTTGTACGTTTGCCCACTGACAAAGAAATGATCAGTCTATAATTTTAATGGAAGGTTTATTTGAACAGTGAGAGACAGAATAACAACAACGCATGTTAAAAATGTTATAAATTGATTTGCATTTTAATGAGGGAAATAAGTATTTGACCCCCTCTCAGTCAGAAAGATTTCTGGCTCCCAGGTGTCTTTTATACAGGTAACGAGCTGTGATTAGGAGCACACTCTTAAAGGGAGTGCTCCTAATCTCAGCTTGTTACCTGTATAAAAGACACCTGTCCACAGAAGCAATCAATCAATCAGATTCCAAACTCTCCACCATGACCAAGACCAAAGAGCTCTCCAAGGATGTCAGGGACAAGATTGTACACCTACACAAGGCTGGAATGGGCTACAAGACCATCGCCAAGCAGCTTGGTGAGAAGGTGACAACAGTTGGTGCGATTATTCGCAAATGGAAGAAACACAAAAGAACTGTCAATCTCCCTCGGCCTGGGGCTCCATACAAGATCTCACCGCGTGGAGTTGCAATGATCATGAGAATGGTGAGGAATCATCCCAGAACTACACGGGAGGATCTTGTCAATGATCTCAAGGCAGCTGGGACCATAGTCACCAAGAAAACAATTGGTAATACACTACGCCATGAAGGACTGAAATCCTGCAGCGCCCGCAAGGTCCCCCTGCTCAAGAAAGCACATATACAGGGCCGTCTAAAGTTTGCCAATGAACATCTGAATGATTCAGAGGAGAACTGGGTGAAAGTGTTGTGGTCAGATGACACCAAAATGGAGCTCTTTGGCATCAACTCAACTCGCCGTGTTTGGAGGAGGAGGAATGCTGCCTATGACCCCAAGAACACCATCCCCACCGTCAAACATGGAGGTGGAAACATTATGCTTTGGGGGTGTTTTTCTGCTAAGGGGACAGGACAACTTCACCGCATCAAAGGGACGATGGACGGGGCCATGTACCATCAAATCTTGGGTGAGAACCTCCTTCCCTCAGCCAGGGCATTGAAAATGGGTCGTGGATGGGTATTCCAGCATGACAATGACCCAAAATACACGGCCAAGGCAACAAAGAAGTGGCTCAAGAAGAGGCACATTAAGGTCCTGGAGTGGCCTAGCCAGTCTCCAGACCTTAATCCCAAAGAAAATCTGTGGAGGGAGCTAAAGGTTCGAGATGCCAAACGTCAGCCTCGAAACCTTAATTACTTGGAGAAGATCTGCAAAGAGGAGTGGAACAAAATCCCTCCTGAGATGTGTGCAAACCTGGTGGCCAACTACAAGAAACGTCTGACCTCTGTGATTGCCAACAAGGGTTTTGCCACCAAGTACTAAGTCATGTTTTGCAGAGGGGTCAAACACTTCTTTCCCTCATTAAAATGCAAATCAATTCATAACATTTTTGACATGCGTTATTCTGTCTCTCACTGTTCAAATAAACCTACCATTAAAATTATAGACTGATCATGTCTTTGTCAGTGGGCAAACATTCAAAATCAGCAGGGGATCAAATACTTTTTTCCCTCACTGTACATGATTCCATAAGTGTTATTTCATAGTTTTGATGTCTTCACAATTATTCTACAATGTAGAAAATTGTCAAAATAAAGAAAAACCCAGTGGATTTTGAAAGTATTCACCCCCCTTGTCATTTTTCCTATTTTGTTGCCTTACAACCTGGAATTAAAATGGATTTTTGGGGGGGTTGTATCATTTGATTTACACAACATGCCTACCACTTTGAAGATGCAAAATATTTTTGATCGTGAAACAAACAAGACATAAGACAAAAAAACAGAAAACCTGAGCGTGCATAACTATTCACCCCCCCCCCCCCCCCCCCCCCCCCCCCCCCCCCCCAAAGTCAATACTTTGTACAGCCAGCTTTTGCAGCAATTACAGCTGCAAATCTCTTGGGGTATGTCTCTATAAGCTTGGCACATCTAGCCACTGGGATTTTTGCCCATTCTTCAAGGCAAAACTGCTCCAGCACCTTCAAGTTGGATGGGTTCCGCTGGTGTGCACCAGATCCTATTTAGGGGCTTCGTAGCAAAGGGGGTGAATACATATGCACGCACCACTTTTCCGTTATTTATTTTTTTGAATTTTTTTAAACAAGTAATTTTTTTCATTTCACTTCACCAATTTGGACAATTTTGTGTATGTCCATTACATGAAATCCAAATAAAATCCATTTAAATTACAGGTTGTAACGCCAAGGGGGATGAATACTTTTGCAAGGCACTGTAAATAAAGTCCACCTGTGTGCAATCTAAGTGTCACATGATCTGTCACATGATCTCAGTATATATACACCTGTTCTGAAAGGCCCCAGAGTCTGCAACACCACTAAGCAACGGGCACCACCAAGCAAGCGGCACCATGAAGACCAAGGAGCTCTCCAAACAGGTCAGGGACAAAGTTGTGGAGAAGTACAGATCAGGGTTGGGTTATAAAAAAATATCAGAAACTTTGAACATCCCACGGAGCACCATTAAATCCATTATTAAAAAATGGAAAGAATATGGCACCACAACAAACCTGCCAAGAGAGGGCTGCCCACCAAAACTCAAGGACCAGGCAAGGAGGGCATTAATCAGAGAGGCAACAAAGAGACAAAAGATAACCCTGAAGGAGCTGCAAAGCACCACAGCGGAGATTGGAGTATCTGTCCATAGGACCACTTGAAGCCGTACACTCCACAGAGCTGGGCTTTACGGAAAAAAGCCATTGCTTAAAGAAAAAAATAAGCAAACACGTTTGGTGTTCGCCAAAAGGCATGTGGGAGACTCCCCAAACATATGGAAGAAGGTACTCTGGTCAGATGAGACTAAAATTGAGCTTTTTGGCCATCAAGGAAAACGCTATGTCTGGCGCAAACCCAACACCTTTCATCAATCCGAGAACACCATCCATCACCATGTTTTTCATCGGCAGGGACTGGGAAACTGGTCAGAATTGAAGGAATGATGGATGGGGCTAAATACAGGGAAATTCTTGAGGGAAACCTTTTTCAGTCTTCCAGAGATTTGAGACTGGGACGGAGGTTCACCTTCCAGCAGGACAATGACCCTAAGCATACTGATAAAGCAACACTCGAGTGGTTTAAGGGGAAACATTTTAAATGTCTTGGAATGGTCTAGTCAAAGCCCAGACCTCAATCCAATTGAGAATCTGTGGTATGACTTAAAGATTACTGTACACCAGCGGAACCCATCCAACTTGAAGGAGCTGGAGCAGTTTTGCCTTGAAGAATGGGCAAAAATCCCAGTGGCTAGATATAGATTATAGAGATATACCCCAAGAGACTTGCAGCTGTAATTGCTGCAAAAGGTGGCTGTACAAAGTATTGACTTTGGGGGGGTGAATAATTATGCACGCTCAAGTTCTGTTTTTTTGTTTGTTTCACAATAAAAAAGATTTTGCATCTTCAAAGTGGTTGGCATGTTGTGTAAATCAAATTATACAAACCTGCCAAAAATCAATTTTAATTCCAGGTTGTAAGGCAACAAAATAGGAAAAATGCCAAGGGGGGTGAATACTTTTGCAAGCCACTGTAACTAATTATGTGACTTCTGAAGGTAATTGGTTGCACCAGATCCTATTTAGGGGCTTCGTAGCAAAGGGGGTGAATACATATGCACGCACCACTTTTCCGTTATTGATTGTTTAGAATTCTTTGATATATATTTTTTGGGGTCCATTACATGAAATCCAAATAAAATATCCATTTAAATTACAGGTTGTAATGCAACAAAATAGGAAAAACGCCAAGGGGGATGAATACTTTTGCAAGGCACTGTACAATATATATATGTATATATATATATATTTTTTTTTTTTAAATATATAAACATAACAGATAGGGAGAGAATGACAAGCAGTTGGCCTGACTCGAACCTATGTCGTAGACATGTGTACCGGAAGCTGCGGCATTACCACTAGACCAGCCAGGCCACTGCTCAGTAGATCCTACAGTAACCTGTATCTAACCTGTGGGTGACCTTCAATTTCCTACAGTGTGTTGTGTCGTAGGATCAAGGTGAACGACCAGATTGTGGAGGTGGACGGCACCAGTCTGGTGGGGGTGACCCAGAGCTTCGCTGCCTCCGTCCTGAGGAACACCCAGGGAGTGGTTAGGTAAGAACAACCACCACATCCATAACATTTTATTTTCATTTATTTATACAGCTCAGTCCACAGTACCATAAAGTGGCATCAGCTATGGTCTGTTTAGTTAAAACGGCATTGTTAGAGGGGAATAACTCAATGTGTACTGCTACACTTTATACAGTAGTCTGCCATATAGTCATCCTTTCTGCACATGAGAAATAATGCATGGGTCGTTCCACAAAAATAGTGCCTTTTGCGTTGCTTTGATATTTTAAGTAGAAATTGTGCACTGATATTGAATTTTAAAAAGCCTGTTATATTAAATGAATTGCCGTTTAATATAGACCACATGGAGAAATCAATAAATCGGATTTTTTATATGAATAAAGGCTTGCTAAAGTGCCCAAATTCCGCGCATTTTGACATGTCCCTCCATCAACCCTGTGTCACTTCTAGGAACAGTTTTACCCCCCTAATCCCAAAATGTCTCCCAAGTTTCACCATCATTGTAAAGCCCTAGTTATTTTGTTGCTTTGACAAAGTATTTTCTGAAGATTATTATTTATTTCATGTGATTAGTGATTCATTTACGCCTGTCCCTCATTTTAAGGTCAACCCTGTTACGTGAACTGAACTCTCGTTTTTATATGGTGAAACTGTTCCTTTTTATATATTTTTTAAGGAAACATTGAACATCTAATAGTCAAATCATAGTGTAAAAGCAGGTGAGCTGGTTCTACTCTTTTTTGGCCATTTTCTGGTATTTAGTGGTGGAAAACTGAGAGGGTCGAGCATAACACGTCTACTACACACAGGGTAGATAGACAGGCTAGAAATGTTTGAACAATTGCCTTTTTTTTGTTAAGCTTGCATTTAACTGCCCCTCCCTGTTGCACACAACAAGCGTTTTATGGATTTATGGCTGATGTAAGGTGAAATCGTTAACCCTGTTATGGTCAACCCTGTTACGGTCAACCCTGTTACTTTATTTGACACTTATAGGCACTTACTATAAAAAAAAAAATGTTAGATTGGAAAACGTGTTTTTTATTAAGTTGAACATGTGCTCTTTATGACAGAACGTTAAAATTTGGTAAAATCAAACGTTTTTTGGGACTAAGTTACACTTTGACTAAGGCACCGAATTGCTGGGACGACCTACATGCGTCCACTTTACTGTGATTCTATATCATAGCATTCTCTTACATTAAAAAAGTGGTGTTTATATTGTGTTGTGTCTATTAGTGGACAGGGGGGCCATTTTGTCTTTAAACTTAAACCCAATATACTGTTAATGTTTTCAAACTGCAGACCACCAAAACTGCTACATGAACACACAACATAGACTGCATTTGAAAACTGTTTTGGCAGACCCCCATTCATGCATTCATTAGCATAATGTAAATAGCGTGGAAATATGACTGTGAAGAATGTATCAGTGTAAGAGAGTAGCAGTGGACAGCAGGCCTCCACTCTACAGAGCAGAGCACTCTTCTCCCAAACAATATAGGAGCTCTCTCTCTCTCTCTCTTTATCCTCCCTGGGTTTGATCGCTCTGTGCCCCAGATTCGCCATTTCAACTAAATTTAACCCTGACTTACGACATCATCCAGGTCTCTGAAACCACACAAGTACGAGTTCACTGGTCACTCAGCATAAGGCTTAAAAAAGAAAGCATATATTTGCCACCACATTTATAAACCAGATGTTAAAAGACAACACAATTAAACAACATCCCACATGGTTGACTGACTGAGGGCATATCTGTTGTGTGAGACAACGTAGTGCGGACATCCCACCCGTTGGGGTCCAGAGGACCGAGTTTGGGAAACGCTGCTATATAGGGAAGGGAATAGGGTGCCATTTGGGACTCAGCCCCTGTCTGTCAACATACTGTAGCAGCTCCTAATGGACAAGATATGTCTGTATTATGGCTGTTGTTCCCAGAGCAGTGGAAGCAGGGTGGACCCCCCCCTGCATGTTGCTTTACCGGGAAAGAAGAAACTGTTTCCAGGTCAGCTGCTAGATGGAGAGATGGAGGAGCGCGGGCCGTGATTCTGATTCCTCTCAGTTGTTGATTCAGATGTAGATCAACGTTAACTCTGGAATGTAGCCAGCCTAGCTCTGTAATCAGCATGCCCACTCCGGATGATTGGAGACTCAGTCAAATATGCTCTCCCACTGAGATAGAGCGATCCATCTTGGAATAAACGAGAGAGAAACAAGATAAATATGTATTTCTACCACCTGTATGCTGGGTATGCTGGGTGGTAGAGAGGGAACATGGGGAAAGAAAGCCTGCCCCTCTCCCTCTCTCTCACTCTCTCTCTCTCTCGCTCTGTTGCTATGTCTCTCTCTCTCTCTCATTCACTCTCTCTCTCTTTGTCTCTCTTTCTCCCTCTGTTTTGCCCTCTCTCAAATTCAAATTCAAATTGCTTTATTGGCATGGAAAGTGTTACCACATACACTACCAGTCAAAGGTTTGGACACACCTACTCATTCAAGGGTTTTTCTTTATTTTTACTATTTTTTACATTGTAGAATAAAAGTGAAGACATCAAAATTATGAAATAACACATATGGAATCATGTAGTAACCTTGATGACAGCTTTACACACTCTGCATTCTCTCAACCAGCTTCATGACGTAGTCACCTAGAATGCATTTCAATTAACAGGTGTGCCTTCTTAAAAGTTAATTTGTGGAATTTATTTTCTTCTTAATGCGTTTGAGCCAATCAGTTGTGTTGTGACAAGGTAGGGGGGGTATACAGAAGATAGCCCTATTTGGTAAAAGACCAAGTCCATATTATGGCAAGAACAGCTCAAATAAGCGAAGAGAAATGACAGTCCATCATTACTTTAAGACATGAAGGTCAGTCAATACGGAAACTTTCAAGAACTTTTCAAGTTTCTTCAAGTGCAGTCGCAAAAACCATCAAGCGCTATTAGGAAACTGGCTCTCATGAGGACCGCCACAGGAATGGAAGACCCAGAGTTACCTCTGCTGCAGAGGATAATTCATTAGAGTTACCAGCCTCAGAAATTGCAGCCCAAATAAATGCTTCACAGAGTTCAAGTCACAGTGTAGCGGGTGATTTGGACGGAGTCAGGCGGCGCAGGAGGTGTAAATCACAGAATAATGGTTTATTCTGCCAATACAGCGGTTCGCAGCAATGCGTAAAACAACTACAGTGCGACTTAATGGCGCACTGGGGAAAACAAAATACACGAGTGAATATCCCGGCGATAAAGTACATAATGCTCCACCAAGCTATCGACACCTCCACATGGAAACAATCACACACAAAGACATGGGGGGCAGAGGGAATACTTACACAGGGACTGATGAGGGGATATGAACCAGGTGTGTGTAAAAAAGAAGACAAAACAAATGGAATGATGAGAAGAGGAGCGGCAGTGGCTAGAAGGCCGGTGACGACGAACGCAGAAGCCTGCCCGAACAAGGAGTCATGACAGTACCCCCACCTTGATGTGCAGCTCCAGCAGCGCGCTAACACCGGCCTCGGGAACGGCCAGGAGGACGCGGAGCAGGGCGATCCGGATGGCGACGGTGGAAATCCTGCAACAGGCAGGGATCGAGGACATCCTTCACCAGGACCCAGCACCGCTCCTCCGGACCGTACCCCTCCCACTCCACGAGGTGCTGAAGGCCCCCCACCCGACGCCTCGAATCCAGGATGGAACGAACAGAGTACGCCGGGGTCCCCTTGATGTCCAGAGGGGGCGGAGGGACCTCCTGTACCTCAGACTCCTGGAGCGGACCAGCCACCACCAGCCTGAGGAGAGATATGTGAAACGAGGGGTTAATACGGTAATCAGGAGGGAGCAGCAACCTATACGTAACCTCGTTAACTCGCCTCAGGACTTTGAACGGCCCCACAAACCGCGGGCTCAGCTTCCGGTTGGGCAGGCGAAGGGGCAGGTTCCGGGTCGAGAGCCAGACCCGATCACCCGGTACAAAGACCGGGGCCTTAATACGGTGGCGGTCAGCGTTAGCTTTCTGGCGACGCACAGCGCTGGAGGTGGACGTGGGCGGTGTTCTACGTCTCCTTCGCGCGCCGAAACCAGTCGACCACCGCAGGCGCTTCGGTCTGGCTCTGATGCCACGGTGCCAGGACCGGAGGATACCCTAAAACACATTGAAATGGTGATAGGTTAGTGGAGGAGTGGCGGAGAGAGTTCTGGGCATATTCGGCACATGGCAAGAACACAGACCACTCCCCCGGCCGGTTCTGACAGTAGGACCGCAGGAACCTACCCACATCCTGATTCACCCATTCCACCTGCCCATTAGATTTGGGGTGAAACCCAGAGGTCAGGCTGACCGACACCCCCAGACGTTCCATGAACGCCTTCCAGACCCTAGAAGTAAACTGGGGACCCCGGTCAGACACTATGTCCTCTGGCACCCCGTAGTGCCGGAAGACTTGAGTGAACAGGGCTTCCGCAGTTTGCAAGGCCGTGGGGAGACCGGGCAGAGGGAGGAGACGGCAGGCTTTAGAGAAGCGGTCCACAACGACCAGGATGGTGGTGTTACCCTGAGAGAGGGGAAGATCAGTTAGAAAGTCAATCGATAAGTGGGACCATGGCCGTTGTGGAACTGGTAAGGGATGTAATTTACCCGCTGGAAGGTGCCTAGGTGCCTTACTCAGGGCGCACACCGAGCAGGAGGAGACATACACCCTCACGTCCTTAGCCAAGGTAGGCCACCAGTACTTCCCGGTCAGGCAGCGCACTGTACGGCTGATGCCTGGGTGACCAGGGGAGGGGGACGTGTGTGCCCAATAGATAAGACGATCACGGACACTAGACGGCACGTACCACAGCCCAGCTAGGCACTGAGGTGGAGATGGCTCTGTGCGTAACACCCGCTCTATGTCCGCGTCCACCGCCCACACCACCGGCGCCACAATGCAGGAGGCCGGGAGTATGAGGCTGTTGTCTATGGGCCTCTCCTCTGTGTCGTACAGCCGTGACCGTGCGTCTGCCTTCACGTTCTTTGTGCCTGGTATATAGGACAGCGTGAAATCAAACCGGGTGAAGAACAAGGCCCACCTGGCCTGGCAAGGGTTCACCCTCCTCGCTGCCCGGATGTACTCCAGGTTACGGTGGTCAGTCCAGACGAGGAAAGGGTGTTTCGCCCCCTCAAGCAAGTGCCTCCATGCTGTCAGGGCTCTGACAACAGTCAACAGCTCCCGATCACCAACGTCATAGTTCTGCTCCGCCGGGCTGAGCTTCTTAGAGAAGAAGGCACAGGGGCGGAGCTTGGGTGGCGTGCCCGAGCGTTGGGATAGGACAAAGCCTACACCTACCTCGGACACATCCACCTCCACTACGAACGGCAATGATGGATCGAGATGGGCCAGTACCGGGGCTGAGGTGAACAGAGCCCTCAGGTTACTGAAAGCCCTGTCAGCCTCAGCAGACCAGTGGAGCCGGGATGGGCCACCCTTCAACAGAGAGGTGATGGGAGCTGCGACCTTGCCAAAGCCCCGGATAAACCTCCGATAGTAATTGGCAAAGCCAATGAAGCGCTGCACCTGAAATGCGGTCTCCCTCCATCTCCACACTTGAGGGGGTGATGTGGTATCCGAAGAAGGAGACGGATTGTTGGAAGAACAGACACTTTTCTGCCTTGGCATACAGGTCATGCTCCAACAGTCGGCCCCGCACTCTGCGAACCAGGGACACATGCTCGGCGAGCGTAGCGGAATACACCAGGATGTCATCGATGTAGGCCACCACAACGCGACTAAGCATGTCCTGAAACACCTGGTTCACAAAGGACTGGAAGACTGATGGAGCATTCATCAACCCGTACGGCATCACCAGGTATTCATAATGCCCCGTGGTTGTGCTAAATGCTGTCTTCCACTCGTCCCCTTCCCGGACACGCACCAGGTTGTACGCACTCCTGAGGTCTAATTTCGTGAAGAAGCGCGCCCCATGCATTGATTCGATCATAGAGGAAATGAGGGGTAGAGGATAACTATAGAGAATGGTAGTTTTATGAAGTGCACAGTAAACAATGCAAGGGTGCAGACCCCAGTCTTTCTTCTTCACGAAAAATAAACTTGAGGAGGCGGGTGAAGTGGAGGGACGTATGAACCCCTCATACAGGGACTCGGAGACGTATGTTTCCATAGCCTCCGTTTCCGGCTGCGACAGGGAATATACATGACTCCTGGGCGGCACAGCGTCTAACCTGAGGTTTATCGTGCAATCCCCCGCCCGATGGGGTGGTAATTTGGTCGCCTGCGTTTTGGTAAACGCGTGGTTGCACCAACGGAACAGCTAGACACCTACCCTGACACTCTCACGACCACCCTGTGAGAGTTCTCTGTGGCCATGAAAAGGTGGAGTCGTGTAGTGCTAGCCAGGGAAGGCCCAACACAACAGGGAAATCCGGAGACTCAATAATGTGAAACGTGATTTGCTCATTATGGGTCTCCTGCGTAATCATAGTGACTGGTGCTGTAACCTCCCTAACAAAACCTGACCCTAATGGTCGATTGTCAAGTGCTTTGATGGGTAATGGAATAGACAGGGGAACCAATGGAATACATAGACTAAGCGCTAAAGACCTGTCCATAAAGTTCCGAGCTGCGCCTGAATCTACCAGCACCTTACACTGGGGAACTACCGTGTAATCAGGGAAGTTGACGTGGATGGTGAAATGCGCAGCAGAGGGCTCTGTACGAATGTGGGTTTGCGCTACCTGGGGTGACGCGTGAGTGCCTTGCCTGCCGCCTCCAGAACCAGAAGAACCCTGACGACATTGTGCAGCAGAATGTCCTCTCTTGCCACAAGAGTGACACTGGATCTGTTGTCCTCCGTTCTCCCGGAACGCTGCACCACCCAGCTCCATCGGAACGTGATCCGGGTTGAAGGGGGGTGAAACGGGCAGGCCCCTTCCAGGACGTCCTCGCGAAGCCAGCAGGTTGTCCAACCGGATGGCCATGTCCACCAGTTGGTTGAAGGTCAACGTGGTATCCCGGTAGGCTAGCTCCCTTCGGACGTCCTCACGCAGGCTGCATCGGAAGAGGTTGATGAGGGCCCGCTCGTTCCACCCGGACCCAGCCGCTAGAGTTCTAAACTCCAGGGCAAAGTCTTGTGCGGTCCTTGTCCCCTGCCTCAGATGGACCAGTTGGTCGCCCGCCTCTCTTCCTTCGGGGGGATGATCGAAGACGAGCGAACTCTCCGTAGTTGTCCAACGCGTCTCCTCCTTCACTCCAGACCGCGTTGGCCCACTCCAGGGCTTTCCCCGAGAGGCAGGAGACGAGGGCGGACACCTTCTCCCGATCCGATGGAGCCGGGCTGATGGTGTTGAAATAGAGGTCCAGCTGCAGGAGGAAACCCTGGCAGCTGGCCGCTGTCCCGTGGTATTCCCTCGGTCGAGACAGGTGAATACCTCTAGGTGCTGGTGTGTGGGTGGCTGGATCCGGTCGCTCAGCTGGTTCCACAGGGTCGGGTCCTCTCCTCTCCAGGTACTGGATGGCCTGGAAAACCCGATCCATCGCTTCGCCCAAGCTGGCTAACATGTTGGAATGCTCCTGGACCCGTTCAACGGCTTCAGGCATATTCCCCGCTCCTGCTGACTCCATGCTGTTGGGTGTGTAATTCTGTAGCGGGTGATTTGGACGGAGTCAGGCGCAGGAGGTGTAAATCACAGAATAATGGTTTATTCGGCCAATGCAGCGGTTCACAGCAATGCGTAAAACAACTACAGTGCGACTTAACGGCGCACTGGGGAAAACAAAACACACAGGTGAATATCCCGGCGATAAAGTACATAATGCTCCACCGAGCTATCGACACCTCCACATGGAAACAATCACACACAAAGACATGGGGGGCAGAGGGAATACTTATATAAGGACTGATGAGGGGATATGAACCAGGTGTGTGTAAAAAACAAGACAAAACAAATGGAATGATGAGAAGAGGAACGGCAGTGGCTAGAAGGCCGGTGACGACGAACGCCGAAGCCTGCCCGAACAAGGAGAAGAGGCAGCTTCGGAGGAAGTCGTGACACACAGACACATCTCAACATCAACTGTTCAGAGGGGACTGTGTGAATCAGACCTTCAAGGTTGAATTACTACTAATGGACACCAATAAGAAGAAGAGACCTGCTTGGGCCAAGAAACACGAGCAATGGACCGGTGGAAATCTGTCCTTTGGTCTGGATTTTTGGTTCCAACCGCCGTGTCTTTGTGAGACAAAGTGTGGGTGAACGGATGATCTCTGCATGTCTAGTTCCCACCATAAAGCATGGAGGAGGAGGTGTTATGGTGTGGGGGTGCTTGGCTGGTGACACTGTCTGTGATTTATTTAGAATTCAAGGCACACTTAACCAGCATGGCTACCACAGCATTCTGTAGCAATACGCCATCCCATCTGGTTTGGGCTTAGTGGGAATATCATTTGTTTTTCAACAGGACAATCACCCAATACACCTCCAGGCTGTGTAAGGGCTATCTTACCAAGAAAGAGAGGGAAGGAGTGCTGCATCAAATGACCTGGCCTCCACAATCCCCCAACCTCAACCCAATTGAGATGGTTTGGGATGAGTCGGATGGCAGAGTGAAGGAAAAGCAGCCAACAAGTGCTCAGCATATGTGGGAACTCCTTCAAGACTGTTGGAACAGTATTCCAGGTGAAGCTGGTTGAGAGAATGCCAAGAGTGTCCAACCTGGAGGGCTGCTTGCCATTGTCACGTTATTGTGTTAGTGCTGAAAGCCCCATCCCCACTCCACTCCCCTATAATCAGATCCTGCTATTGAGTCCCTGCCAATCGCACAGACTGCCTGTTTCAGCCTCAATCACACAAACAAATAAACAGACAGTGAAAAATTGCACCTTTTCTAGTTCACAAGTTAAAATGAAGAAGGAGGAAGCTCTGTCATGTTTTAGTTCAGCTGAAAATGTCTCAGAAAAAGTCACTGGAAAAAGTATATTGAAGTGAAGCCCTTATTCATAATTGAACCAACATGCACAGTGGTTCAAAGCGTATTGTAAAGTCATGCCATGAGTGAAATACAACTGATTGGCTGTTGCTGTCCGTTTCCAGGTTTGTGATTGGTCGAGAGCGTCCGGGCCAGGTGAGCGAGGTGGCTGCTCTGATCCAACAGACTCTGGAGCAGGAGAGGAGACAGAGAGAGATGCTGGAGCAGCAGTACGCCCAGTATGACGCTGATGACGATGAGGTGGGTAGCCTACTGCCCCGCTGTTTCACCCTCCTACTGATACACCTGGTAGTGTGGCCAATCAAATCCTATACAGTTTTATTAACTGATTCATAGGAGCTAGGAACCTTCTACAACAATGGCTAACTTACTTACCCACTAGTACACTCTTCTACATATCAGGTATTCACAAAGCATCTCAGAGTAGGACTGCTTATCTAGGATCAGTTTAGCCTTTTAGATACAGTATATGAACAGGGGGGATCTGATCCTAAAACAGCCAGTAGCGGTGCGTGGGTAAAATCACTGGGGAAGCCTAGTCAGAAAAAAATGCCATGTTGCAACCTATGTGTTGTGATAATTGCGTTGTTTGCTCTATAACCTGTTGGTTCATATGCCTTGCGACCGTGATATACAGTTGAAGTCGGAAGTTTACATACACTTAGGTTGGAATCATTAAAACTCGTTTTTCAACCACTCCACAAATTTCTTGTTAACAAACTATAGTTTTGGCAAGTCGGTTAGGACATCTACTTTGTGCATGACACAAGTAATTTTTCCAACAATTGTTTACAGACAGATTATTTCACTTATAATTCACTGTATCACAATTCCAGTGGGTCAGAAGTTTACATACACTAAGTTGACGGTGCCTTTAAACAGCTTGGAAAATTCCAGAAAATTATGTCATGGCTTTAGAAGCTTCTGATAGGCTAATTGACATCATTTGAGTCAATTGGAGGTGTACCTGTGGATGTATTTCAAGGCCTACCTTCAAACTCAGTGACTCTTTGCTTGACATCATGGGAAAATCAAAAGAAATCAGCCAAGACCTCAGAAAGAAATTGTAGACCTCCACAAGTCTGGTTCATCCTTGGGAGCAATTTCCAAATGCCTGAAGGTACCACGTTCATCTGTACAAATAATAGTACGCAAGTATAAACACCATGGGACCACGCAGCCGTCATACTGCTCAGGAAGGAGACGCGTTCTGTCTCCTAGAGATGAACGTACTTTGGTGCGAAAAGTGCAAATCAATCCCAGAACAACAGCAAAGGACCTTGTGAAGATGCTGGAGGAAACAGGTACAAAAGTATCTATATCCACAGTAAAATGAGTCCTATATCCACATAACCTGAAAGGCCGCTCAGCAAGGAAGAAGCCACTGCTCCAAAACCACCATAGAAAATCCAAACTACGGTTTGCAACTGCACATGGGGACAAAGATCGTACTTTTTGGAGAAATGTCCTCTGGTCTGATGAAACAAAAATAGAACTGTTTGGCCATAATGACCATCGTTATGTTTGGAGGAAAAAGGGGGTGCTTGCAAGCCGAAGAACACCATCCCAACCGTGAAGCACGGGGGTGGCAGCATCATGCTGTGGGGGTGCTTTGCTGCAGGAGGGACTGGTGCATTTCACAAAATAGATGGCATCATGAGGAAGGAAAATTATGTGGATATATTGAAGCAACATCTCAAGACATCAGTCAGGAAGTTAAAGCTTGGTCACAAATGGGTCTTCCAAATGGACAATGACCCCAAGCATACTTCCAAAGTTGTGGCAAAATGGCTTAAGGACAACAAAGTCAAGATATTGGAGTGGCCATCACAAAGCCCTGACCTCAATCCTATAGAACATTTGTGGGCAGAACTGAAAAAGCGTGTGCGGGCAAGGAGGCCTACAAACCTGACTCAGTTACACCAGGTCTGTCAGGAGGAATGGGCCAACATTCACCCAACTTATTGTGGGAAGCTTGTGGAAGGCTACCCTGAAACATTTGACCCAAGTTAAACAATTTAAAGGCAATGCTACAAAATACTAATTGAGTGTATGTAAACTTCTGAACCACTGGGAATGTGATGAAAGAAATAAAAGCTGAAATAAATCATTCTCTCTACTATTATTCTAACATTTCACATTCTTAAAATAAAGTGGTGATGCTAACTGACCTAAGACAGGGAATTTTTACTAGGATTAAATGTCAGGAATTGTGAAAAACTGAGTTTAAATGTATTTGGCTAAGGTGTATGTAAACCTTGACTTCAACTGTATAGGCCTAAAGCCAAGACATTAAGAAGACACAGTGGCAGAATAAATTCAACCACACCTTTGTTTCATCACAAAACCAGAGAGCAACCTCTATTTGGTGGAGTCCACAAAGCATTTTGTTTCTGCATAAATGTTTCCGACATTTTCGGACTACTAAACAACTATTGATTTAGAACCACGGAGAGTTACCGCAAGTGGAAAAGAAAACAGGAGCTGCCACCATTATTCCAGAACCATTTCAACTTCAAATCAGCTATGCTTAGTCTAATACAGTGACAACTAAAAGATTCCAAAAACAATTTAGTCCAATCAACGTAATCTAAATATCATGTGGCTGTCCATGGTTCTGATTTCTCTGTATATGTGTGTGTGTGTGTGTGTGTGTGTGTGTGTGTGCGTGTATAAGTAGAAAAAAACATGTTGCCTAAACAGTCTATGACTCTCTTGCTCACTAGCCAAACTTCCTTTCATGGGCAACGATACGCCAGGCCAGCTAGTTAACATTATCCTACTACATCTAGCTACATATTGAACTTCCATTCTCTCAGGACAGAGGCATAATGTATGAATTTATGGTTGGATCAGAATCGCCGTTATAATCATTGTACGGAGAATTAAGTAAAACCACAAGTCCAAATCCCTATCTCCGTCTATGGCTAATTTAGGAAAGGGCCAATTTAAGCTAGATAGCTAGCCACCGGAGGACAACAACACAACGAGATGCAACAATACAAGTTTCTTTAAGTCAAATGACATTTGGCTTGATGTGATGTGTGATTGGTGTGAAGCCAAATCCAAACTGGCTTCCCTTGACAATTTTTTGGGTGTGCCAGGACCATTCACAGTTGAGCTTAATCAGTTAAGCTCAACGCTGATTGGCTATACATTATTTTTAAATGTATCAAGCTAGGCCAAATGCTCGCTGGCTTCCCTTGCATTCAATGCTATGGGCGGCTACAATGTCATACTATTTTTAACATGACAGCATCAAATAAATGGGCTACACATACAGAGACAGAGGGGCGCTGTTTTGCTCATTCAGATGCGTTCTCTGGTGAGATACATTCAGCCTCTTGCGAATTGAAGGAAAATTATGAAACACAGTGAGACGAAATATTCATTTTTGTATGTTTTTATTATTTATTTATTGATACATTTTTGGGGGAAGCCTGGCTTCTCTTGGCATCCATGAATACACGCCACTGAGATCAGCACTCCTACTCTGAGAAGCTTTATACGGCCCCAGATCTGTTTCAGCATACTAATGACAGACCTGTGTGGTCAAACTGCACTCCAATCCTCTTCTACAACAGGTCAATCTTGGTCATGAGTTGTGGTTGTGGTTGTCATTATGTCATGTCAAATCAGGCGTTGCTAAACATAGCTCAAGAATAATGTGGCTGTTCACTTAAAAAAAAGCCTCTAGGGCTGTTTTCCTGTGTTTGAGTGACTGCGTATGTGAAAACACACTCAATGGCAATACTCTCTCTCAGCCAACATGTTTTCCTGCCTGTGTTTTGTTTTAGCACACACTAAAGCCCATTACCATACACTCATCATTAGTGGGTCAGGAGGCTGGAGGACAATAAAGCCACCATTTCCATAATGGGTGCGCGTTGCCATGGCAGCGAGGCTGAGGGTTTATATTAAAGCCCCATTTAGAGGCGGCAGTGGGAGACGTCGGGTTAATCACCATGTATCTAGGCGTAGTGATGCACATCCTATAGGCTCTGGTCTGGTGATACAGTGGGGGAAAAAAAGTATTTAGTCAGCCACCAATTGTGCAAGTTCTCCCACTTAAAAAGATGAGAGAGGCCTGTAATTGTCATCATAGGTACACGTCAACTATGACAGACAAAATGAGGGAAAAAAATCCAGAAAATCACATTGTAGGATTTTAAATGAATTTATTTGCAAATTATGGTGGAAAATAAGTATTTGGTCAATAACAAAAGTTTCTCAATACTTTGTTATATACCCTTTGTTGGCAATGACACAGGTCAAACGTTTTCTGTAAGTCTTCACAAGGTTTTCACATACTGTTGCTGGTATTTTGGCCCATTCCTCCATGCAGATCTCCTCTAGAGCAGTGTTGTTTTGGAGCTGTCGCTGGGCAACACGGACTTTCAACTCCCTCCAAAGATTTTCTATGGGGTTGAGATCTGGAGACTGGCTAGGCCACTCCAGGACCTTGAAATGCTTCTTACGAAGCCACTCCTTCGTTGCCCGGGCGGTGTGTTTGGGATCATTGTCATGCTGAAAGACCCAGCCACGTTTCATCTTCAATGCCCTTGCTGATGGAAGGAGATTTTCACTCAAAATCTCATGATATATGGCCCCATTCATTCTTTCCTTTACACGGATCAGTCGTCCTGGTCCCTTTGCAGAAAAACAGCCCCAAAGCATGATGTTTCCACCCCCATGCTTCACAGTAGGTATGGTGTTCTTTGGATGCAACTCAGCATTCTTTGTTCTCCAAACACGACGAGTTGAGTTTTTACCAAAAAGTTCTATTTTGGTTTCATCTGACCATATGACATTCTCCCAATCCTCTTCTGGATCATCCAAATGCACTCTAGCAAACTTCAGACGGGCCTGTACATGTACTGGCTTAAGCAGGGGGACACGTCTGGCACTGCAGGATTTGAGTCCCTGGCGGCGTAGTGTGTTACTGATGGTAGGCTTTGTTACTTTGGTCCCAGCTCTCTGCAGGTCATTCACTAGGTCCCCCCGTGTGGTTCTGGGATCTTTGCTCACCGTTCTTGTGATCATTTTGACCCCACGGGGTGAGATCTTGCGTGGAGCCCCAGATCGAGGGAGATTATCAGTGGTCTTGTATGTCTTCCATTTCCTAATAATTGCTCCCACAGTTGATTTCTTTAAACCAAGCTGCTTACCTATTGCAGATTCAGTCTTCCCAGCCTGGTGCAGGTCTACAATTTTGTTTCTGGTGTCCTTTGACAGCTCTTTGGTCTTGGCCATAGTGGAGTTTGGAGTGTGACTGTTTGAGGTTGTGGACAGGTGTCTTTTATACTGATAACAAGTTCAAACAGGTGCCATTAATACAGGTAACGAGTGGAGGACAGAGGAGCCTCTTAAAGAAGAAGTTACAGGTCTGTGAGAGCCAGAAATCTTGCTTGTTTGTAGGTAACCAAATACTTATTTTCCACCATAATTTGCAAATAAATTCATAAAAAATCCTACAATGTGATTTTCTGGATTTTTTCTCCTCAATTTGTCTGTCATAGTTGACGTGTACCTATGATGAAAATTACAGGCCTCTCTCATATTTTTAATTGGGAGAACTTGCACAATTGGTGGCTGACTAAATACTTTTTTCCCCACTGTATATGTATGATATATAATATACTGTATATGTCTGATATATGTATGCATCCCCACTACCCATTACATCATGATTAGATAGATAGAAATTTACAGGTTGATTTAGAATGGCATTTGGCAATGTTGTGCAGTTGGTGCTTGGTGCTTGGTGCTTGGTGCTTGGTTCGTGTGTGTGTGTGTGTGTGTGTCAGACCTAGGATAACTATAGTTTTAACAATGCTTTGTGTAAAGCAGAGGTTGGAACCAATTTTTTTCCCAATAAAGCAAAATAAAGTTCTGAACCGGTTCAGAGAAAAAAAAGTTACGGTTTAAATTGTTCATTTCTGTTACTTTTTAAACCTCTGAAATCTAAATCACTTTCATTCCTGGTTCTAATTCTGTTCCTTGAAACATTTTGTTCATTTCCGGTTTCTGTTCTGTTCCCTGAACCAGTTCCAACCCCTGGTGGAAATTTATATAAATATAAACGCAACATGCAACAATTTCAACTATTTTACTGAGTTACAGTTCATATAAGGAAATCAGTCAATTGAAATAAATGCATTAGGCCCTAATCTATGGATTTCACACGACTGGGAATACAGATATGCATCTGTTAGTAACAGATACCGTAAAAAAAAAAAGTAGGGGCGTGGATCAGAAAACCAGTCAGTGTCTCATTCAGCATAACACAGCTCCTTCGCATAAAGTTGATCAGGATGTTGATTGTGGCCTGTGGAATGTTGTCCCACTCCTCTTCAATGGCTGTGTGAAGTTGCTGGATAGTTGGCGGGAACTGGAACATGCTGTCGTACTAGTCGATCCAGAGCATCCAAACATGCTCAATGGGTGACATGTCTGGTGAGTATGTAGGCCATGGAAGAACTGGGACATTTTCAGCTTCCAGGAATTGTGTACAGATCCTTGCGACATGGGGCTGTGTATTATCATGCTGAAACAGGAGGTGATGGCAGGTGGATGAATGGCACGACAATGGGCCTCAGGATCTCGTCACGGTATCTCTGTACATTCAAATTGGCATCAGGAAAATGCAATTGTGTTGTCCGTAGCTTATGCCTGCCCATACCATAACCCCACTGCCACCATGGGGCACTCTGTTCACAATGTTGACATCAGCAAACCGCTCGGCCACACAACACCATACATGTGGTCTGTGTTTGGTGAGGCCGGTTGGACGTACTGCCAAATTCTCTAATACAACGTGGGAGGCGGCTTATGGTAGAGAAATGAACATTACATTATCTGGCAACAGCTCTGGTGGACATTCCTGCAGTCACCATGCCAATTGCATGCTCCTTCAAAACTCGAGACATCTGTGGCATTGTGTTGTGTGACAAATCTGCACATTTTAGAGTGGCCTTTTATTGTCCTCAGCACAAGGTGCACCTGTGTAATGATCATGCTGTTTAATCAGCTTCTTGATATGTCACACCGATCAGGTGGATAGATTATCTTGGCAAAGGAGAAATGCTCACTAACAGGTATGTAAACAAATTTGTCCCCAAAAATGTAGCGAAATAAGCTTTATTTTCTTATGGAACATTTCTGGGATATTTTATTTCAGCTCATGAAACAAGGGACCAACACATTACATGTTGCGTTTTATTTTTGTTTAGTGTATTTTTCCAGGGGAACAAATAGTAACTTTGGAGGTGACTACAACTATTTGAATACAGATCTCAGAAAGTAACTACTTTCGTAAACTATTTGAAAACAGATCTGAGAAAGCAACTACTTAAAAAACATATTTGAATACAGATCGCAGGAAGTGACTACTTTTCTGAAACTATTGGATTGGCTGCCTTCAACTAATGGCAGGGCTGTATCTGGAACTGCATGTTGAAGATAGAAATACAATGAATAGGGCACACATAATCTCCTCTACTATTCAAATGTATTTGATCCACACAATACATTTCTACAGTGGCTTGCGAAAGTATTCACCCCCCTTAGCATTTTTCCTATTTTGAGGGTTTGTATCATTTCATTTATACAACATGCCTACCACTTTGAAGATGCAAAATATTTTTTCTTGTGAAACAAACAAGAAATAAGACAAGAAAACAGAAAACTTGAGCGTGCATAACTATTCACCCCCCCAAATTCAATACTTTGTAGAGCCACCTTTTGCAGCAATTACAGCTGCAAGTCTCTTGGGGTATGTCTCTATAAGCTTGGCACATCTAGCCACTGGGATTTTTGCCCATTCTTCAAGGCAAAACTGCTCCAGCTCCTTCAAGTTGGATGGGTTCCGCTGGTGTACAGCAATCTTTAAGTCATACCACAGATTCTCAATTGGATTGAGGTCTGGGCTTTGACTAGGCCATTCCAAGACATTTAAATGTTTCCCCTTAAACCACTCGAGTGTTGCTTTAGCAGTATGCTTAGGGTCATTGTCCTGCTGGAAGGTGAACCTCCGTCCCAGTCTCAAATCTCTGGAAGTCTGAAACAGGTTTCCCTCAAGAATTTCCCTGTATTTAGCGCCATCCATCATTCCTTCAATTCTGACCAGTTTCCCAGTCCCTGCTGATGAAAAACATGATGATGATGGGATGATGTTGGGATGGGATGATGTTCTCCGGGTGATGAGAGGTGTTGGGTTTGTGCCAGACATAGCGTTTTATTTGATGGCCAAAAAGCTAAATGTTAGTCTCATCTGACCAGAGTACCTTTTTCCATATGTTTGAGGAGTCTCCCACATGCCTTTTGGCAAACACCAATGGCTTTTTTCTTGCCACTCTTCCGTAAAGCCCAGCTCTGTGGAGTGTACGGCTTAAAGTGGTCCTATGGACAGATACTCCAATCTCCGCTGTGGAGCTTTACAGCTCCTTCAGGGTTATCTTTGGTCTCTTTGTTGCCTCTCTGATTAATGCCCTCCTTGTCTGGTCCGTGAGTTTTGGTGGGCGGCCCTCTCTTGGCAGGTTTTTTGTGATGCCATATTCTTTCCATTTTTTTATATTTAATGGTGCTCCGTGGGATGTTCAAAGTTCCGGATGTTTTTTTATAACCCAACCCTGATCTGTACTTCTCCACAACTTTGTCCCTTACCTGTTTGGAGAGCTCCTTGGTCTTCATGGTGCCGCTTGCTTGGTGGTGCCCCTTGCTTAGTGGTGTTGCAGACTCTGGGGCCTTTCAGAATAGGTGTATATATACTGAGATCATGTGACACTTAGATTGCACACAGGTGGACTTTATTTAACTAATTATGTGACTTCTGAAGGTAATTGCATGCACCAGATCTTATTTAGGGGCTTCATAGCAAAGGGGGTGAATACATATGCATGCACCACTTTTCCGTTATTTATTTTTTAGAATTTCTTTAAACAAGTTATTTTTTTCATTTCACTTCACCAATTTGGACTATTTTGTGTATGTCCATTACATGAAATCCAAATAAAAATCCATTTAAATTACAGGTTGTAATGCAACAAAATAGGAAAAACGCCAAGGGGGATGAATACTTTTGCAAGGCACTGTATCTGAACATTTAGTAAATATCCTTTCTCTTGAATATCCATTGCCCCAGGTGTACATAATCAAGTCAAACCAATTAACCAATTATATTTTGTACAGATAAGTATAAATAAGTTCTGACGCTCAACTAATGTATGGCTCTTTCAACATGCCACTGAAAAGGTTGAAAGCTGCAATACATTTTAATTTTATGATACCTGAAAATAATTCAAACCCATTTTCAAACATTGCAAACAGCAAGTTGGATGCTTAGCAAAAACAACTTTGAACCTCTTTGTCCATCTGAGGGTAAGTGTTCTTGTTTCAAACTCACACTATACCATCTATACCATCTTTAAATGGATCTTTAAATGGATTGTTTGCTCATAATACAAACTAACATGATTTTCAACCTACCTTGGCTGTAGTTGATTCAAGAAGGCAGTTTTGGGATATCTAGTTTCCTTTTGACACTTAATAGCCATATTTTGTTACTGTTAGCATTCTCAGTAACACTTAACATCAACCTGTTCTTGTGCCTTTGCAATAAAGCAACATTTTATTAGCACATTGTTACATAATACTTGGGTAATTGCATTTTAATTGCATAATAATGAGCTGAGAGTTTTGTTAACTACTGTACACAAGAGGAATAGTGACTTATTCCACTTATGTAATAACTCCATTATTATGTAATTATAAAGCAATTTCCAAAGTCCTATGTAACAACAATGTTGCTACTGTATTAATCACAAAGTTACTAACAACTTGATGTCAACTGACGAAATTGTATGCACTCACTACTGAAGTCGCTCTGGATAAGAGTGTCTGCTAAATGAGTAACATTTAAATGTCACTCATTATGAAAATGTATTTGTTAGTCATTTTGAAGCTGCAAAAGTGTTCTACTCTGTTGAGGTGTTTCCATGTCCCTCATTTAATTCTAGGCTAAATTAAGATTGGTGGATTGATTGTTGTCACTGAGAGGGTTGTATTGCATATCTGTCTGTGTGCTGGAAACACCACCCAAACCAAAAGCTTCACAGCTTTCTGATGTTAACAGTTCCAAGCTGCGTTTAGGGTGAATAATGTGCCATGTGGTGGGAACTTAATCTAATATTTATGGAGCTATTCATATTAATGCTGTCATTTTATTGCAGGGCATAGATCATCCTACAGAATCCATAATTGTTTGTCATGTCGGTTATGCGTAATGGATGCTTTGCTAGTTTCAATTCAGTGTGGATTCCCCAGTATGGAGTCCCAAGTGTGGATTCCCAAGTACCGTTTTAACTGCCTGAGGTAGCTATGGATTCTGTAGGAATGTGAAATGTATTAGTAAAGGATTAGTAATGATAATTCAATCATCAGCATTATACTGTGTGCTGTCAGGCTGTAAGGCTTAAAGTGCGTCCAAATGGCACCCTATCCCCTATATAGTGCACTACTTTCGATGAGGCCCTGGTCAGTAGTGCAGTGTATATAGGGAATAGGGTGCCATTTGGGACTCAACGTCAGTCCTGAAGGTGAAGAGGTAATGAAGAACACAGTGCTTCAGTGTATAGGAGGATACCATTATTATATATGGTTGAGTTATGATGATTCTCTTCCATGGCCTTAGGGACATCACATCTCTCTATGCATGGAGGCTACAACCAGAGAGAGCGAGAGAGGAGAGAGGAGAGAGGAGAGAGGAGAGGAGAGAGAGAGAGAGAGAGAGAGAGAGAGAGAGAGAGAGAGAGAGAGAGATGTGGCGAGGGCACCGCAGGGCAAACACACAGGGTTACATCTCTGACTGGTGGATTAACACAGCCCTGAGTAAATCAGCAAGGCTTTAGATGTGACTGTCCAGACCTGAAGATTTTCCCCTCATCATCAGCCATGTAAACACACACACACACACACACACACACACACACACACACACACACACACACACACACACACACACTATAAAGGCAATATAACAGATATTTGTTGAGAGCAGCAGGAGAGAAATCTTCTGCTGTACCATAACAAAGAAAGCACCAGATGTTTCTAATAATGTTTCAGTGTTAGCTGTAGCAGTGTATGTGTGTGTGTGTGTGTTTGTGTGTATGTGTGTGTGTGTGTGTTTGCTCGACTACTCTGTGAGCTCCAGCATCAGTGTCTCTGAGGTGTCAGTCACCCAGTGTGATTCTGGAAGAAGGACCAGAGAGAGGGGCCCGGATGGACGGCCCCATGCCAGGATGGATCATTCGATCCTGGGTAGAGCACTCCCAGGGCCTGGGTCTGCTTGGCTCTCCTTGCCTGGCACTCTGCAACCAGATCTGAGGCTGCTGCAGGCTGCAGCTGAGTGAAACTCATCTTTCCTCACCTCACCCCCCAGCTTTACCTACCCCCCCCAACCCTGACCCTCTCCTCAACTCCCTGTCCCTCTCACTTCTCACTTTGACAGGACCCCTGTCATCCTATACCCAGACCTGACAACTGGTCTCTCTCTCTCTGTGATGAGTGTGATAGAAGGAGTCAGGCGCAGGAGGGTAAATCACAGAATACAGAGTTTATTCCGCTGTACACAGTTGCGCTGGATAGTGACAACAAAATACAGGCACAGGGGAACAATCTACCCCGGCAATACAAGGTACGGGTAGCTCCAACAAAATACAGGCACAGGGGAATAATCTACCCCGACAATACAAGGTACGAGTAGCTCCAACAAAATACAGGCACAGGGGAACAATCTACCCCGGCAATACAAGGTACGAGTAGCTCCAACAAAATACAGGCACAGGGGAATAATCTACCCTGGCAATACAAGGTACGAGTAGCTCCAACAAAATACAGGCACAGGGGAATAATCTACCCCGGCAATACAAGGTATGAGTAGCTCCATCGAGCTACACTCAACTCACATAAAACAATCACCCACAAGGACAAGGGGGCAGAGGAAACACTTATACACAGACTAATGAGGGGATATGAACCAGGTGTGTGTAATTGACAAGATAAGACAAATGGAATGATGATATATGGAGCGGCAGTGGCTAGAAGGCCGGTGACGACGAACGCCGAAGCCTGCCCGAACAAGGAGGGGAGGCAGCCTCGGCGGAAGTCGTGACACTCTCTCTGTCTCTCCCTCTCCCTCTCTGTCTCTCTCTGTCTCGCTATTTCTCGCTCTTGCTCTCGCTCTGTCTCTCGCTCTCTGTCTTTCTCTCTCTCTCCTTTCCTCATAATAACACAGCCTCTGATTAGTTATGGAAAAACTTCCGTTATGTAGTTAACCATCCTCTCAGTGCTGTTGAGTTTTGGAGGTATTATTGTGAAGCACAGAGCCTCTACCGTCCCCTTCCAGCCTGAGAAAGAGAGCTGAATTTACAACCTTGGCTGAGAGAAAGCTTACGCTGGTGTATTTGTTGTCCTCACTGTAAAAATGATTAATCGTTTTCATTATCAAATGAAACACTGGAGTGGCAGGCAGCGCTTCTTAAAATAGGAAGGGATAACTCAATTAAAGTTAGACCAAGTCAGAACAACGAAAGAGAAGATGAAAACAGTAAACGAACTTTAGATACATAATACTGTGTGTTCTCAGTGACGTGTACATGTACGACAAGTTATGGAATGTATTCTCATTTCTCATGTTGTGTGTGTGTCTGTGTGTGTCCTCAGACCGGGGAGTACGCCACTGATGAAGAGGAGGAGGCGGGGCTGGCCGCAGACGGTGGTGAGGATGAGGAGGGCGAAGGGGAGAAGAGCATCGAGGTGTTCGATTTGCCAGAAACGGAGGACATCATTTCCCCCTCAGAGTTGGACGCTACCAAACTCTACCAGACGTTCAGAGAGGTCACTTGACACCCCTTTCATTTGTCTATTTTATTTATTTTATTATTCTATCTATTCTATTCGTCTTATTCTTTCAGCACGCTAAAAAAGACAGAAGTTCCAACAACAACGTCTTACGTATTTTCCTCACACTAATATCACTAATAATGTGGCCCGGCACTTTCTACAACAACTATTTCTCGTTCCTGATTGCAACAATGTCAAAGAGTAACAAATTACTGAAATAAAGTATTTGGCCGTTACCTTCTTCTAGAACCCATTTTCCTTTTTAAAGGAGCCAACCTGCAAGTAATATTAATTGAAAAGGCTTACTGCCACTGCTGGAACCAGGACATTTTGTCCCTCACCTCACACTTGTGTGACACATTTAACAAATTGCCTGAGCTGCGCTGCGGTGTTCTGGATATTGAGTGAGAAATCATGTCATCTCTACTGTCCCTAGACCTCTAATCTCTCTCACTGGGACTCTCTCTCTCCCCCTTTCTCTCTCTCTCTCTCTCCCCCTTTCTCTCTCTCTCCCCCTTTCTCTCTCTCTCTCCCCCTCTCTCTCTTTCTTCACTTATCTCTACTGCCTCTCTCTCCCCCTCTCTCTTACTACTATATCTTTCCTATCTCCCTTTCTCTTTCAGTCACTCACTCTCCACTTTTCTCTCTCTGCCTACTGACTCTCCCTCTACTTTGTACCTTTCTCTCTCTCCCTCTCTCCCTCTACTTTGTACCTTTCTCTCTCTCTCTCCCTCTCTCCCTCTCTACTTTGTACCTTTCTCTCTCTCCCTCTCTACTTTGTACCTTTCTCTCTCTCTCTCTCTACTTTGTACCTTTCTCTCTCTCTCTCTCTACTTTGTACCTTTCTCTCTCTCCCTCTCTACTTTGTACCTTTCTCTCTCTCCCTCTCTACTTTGTACCTTTCTCTCTCTCTCGCTCTCTCTCTTGGTCTCATGTTCTGTGAGTCTCTCCCTGTCAGTGGTACAGAGTGCTGTCACGCATAGGCTGGGCTATGTGGCTCTTCCCAGTGGTTGTGTGTGTGTGTGTGTGTGTGTGTGTGTGTGTGTGTGTGTGTGTGTGTGTGTGTGTGTGTGCGCATGAGTCTTGTCCAGCACAGAGGCTGCGCAGCCAAGTGTTTGATAATCTGATCGACCTCCTCCCTTTCTACTCCCTCAGCTGCAGATCAAGCACACTGTCACCGAGGCAGAGATACAGAAGCTCAAAAACAAGGTAAGAAAGATCCCCTGCTGTCATCTCTAAGAATGGTATTACAGGCAATGGAAGTGCAATAAACTCATGAAAAATAGACATATGTTTGGGAAAAAGGACGTCATTGGACAGTGCAGGGTATAATAGTTTCTATTTTAAGTTATTTCTGAATATTTAAGGCAATTGCATGTATATTTCAGCAGTTTAGCTTCACTGCACGGCAGAGTTGCCTCTTGCAGTTTCGTGTCACAGGTGTCTGGGCAGTGAATGAGGCAGTGGTTAAGTGACAGTGACATGCAAGCAGGCACAGACACTAGAGCTTTCTAAAAGTTTCTGGTTTATCCTCCCTCTGCATCCTCACGAGGACAGCTTAGCTCAAACTGCAGGAAATTATTTAGAGTCTCAGTAGATATTAACTGAATTCAATGACTGGATTTAGTGAAATTGAAAGGGAAAGGTAAAGGGGGATACCTAGTAAGTTGTACAACTGGATACATTCAACTGAAATGTGTCTTCCTCATTTAACCCAACCCCTCTGAATCAAAGATAAGCTTGTCGGTGTAATACTCTTAGCTTGAGCTGCTCTGGTGGTCCTTGGGAGAGTGTTGCTTCAGAAGTTTGCCCTTGAGGAGTAGAAGGATGTAATACAATAACAACGTTTAACGTAAATGTTTAGAAGGAGGTTACGCTCAATGAAGGGCTTGTCATTACATGATCTGTTAGTTTCTCTCTGTTGTGAAGGCTGGTTAGTGACCCTTAAGTCAAGTATATTATGGTGCTATGTGTTTTATGTTATGTGTTCAACCCATAGCATGGTCTCTTTTTTAGTGTTGACTACGATACCTGAGTTTCCATGGCAAAAAGAAAAACACAAAGCAGAATAAACTCTTTGGTCCTTCAAAACCTACTTTTGTAAAATATTGTGTGCTATAGCTTTTGTGACTCTGGGTGACAACAGAAGGCTGTTTCTTCCAACATTAGGACTGTTTTCCAAAGAACTGTTGTCCTCTTCATGTTTTGTTTGCTTTGCTTCCTTACTTCCTAGTATCGCCATACTGGTGTCATGACAACACATCATACCATAGTGCGTTTAGTCAGTCAGTCAGCTGGCTTGTGCATTACAGTATTTGGAAATCTGTCAGAACTGTATTTGTGTTCCACTGTTTGTTTTTAATGATGTACCTAGTGGTGGGTGTAGGCTGTGTGTGTGTGTGTGTGTGTCTGTGTGTGATACCATGCTTATGTGTGCTTGTCTACCCCAGCTAGCTGTGGTGGAGAGGGAGAAGGCACGCTGGGAGAAGGAGAAGAGCCAGCTGAAGGCCAGCATGGAGGAGAACAAGGAGAGGATGTTGAAGCTGGAGAGTTATTGGATCGAAGCCCAGACCCTGTGCCACACGGTCAACGAGCACCTGAAGGAAGCCCAGTGTCAGTACACCACCCTAGAGAAGAAGTACAACAAGGCCAAGAAACTCATCAAAGACTTCCAGCAGAAGTGAGTCAGAGTCTGGTGCTAAACTGGTTTAAATTAGACAATATACTGATTCAATATACTGTAACATTCTTAGCCTTGGTAAGCCTGTTACGAACCCAGGTTCTATCCCCTCTTCGGGAGTTACTCATCCCCACCGTTCACTATCATACATAACTTATACAGAAAAGTCAAGTGCTCTGGTCTAGTCAGTAACTAGCCACACACTTCAGATCTGTTGGTATGGTCTAGTCAGTAACTAGCCACACACTCCAGATCTGTTGCTATGGTCTAGTCAGTAACTAGCCACACACTCCAGATCTGTTGCTATGGTCTAGTCAGTAACTAGCCGCACACTCCAGATCTGTTGCTATGGTCTAGTCAGTAACTAGCCACACACTCCAGATCTGTTGCTATGGTCTAGTCAGTAACTAGCCACACACTTCAGATCTGTTGGTATGGTCTAGTCAGTAACTAGCCACACACTCCAGATCTGTTGCTATGGTCTAGTCAGTAACTAGCCACACACTCCAGATCTGTTGCTATGGTCTAGTCAGTAACTAGCCGCACACTCCAGATCTGTTGCTATGGTCTAGTCAGTAACTAGCCACACACTCCAGATCTGTTGCTATGGTCTAGTCAGTAACTAGCCACACACTCCAGATCTGTTGCTATGGTCTAGTCAGTAACTAGCCACACACTTCAGATCTGTTGCTATGGTCTAGTCAGTAACTAGACACACTCCAGATCTGTTGCTATGGTCTAGTCAGTAACTAGCCACACACTCCAGTTATGTTGCTATGGTCTAGTCAGTAACTAGCCACACACTTCAGATCTGTTGCTATGGTCTAGTCAGTAACTAGCCACACACTTTAGATCTGTTGCTATGGTCTAGTCAGTAACTAGCCGCACACTCCAGATCTGTTGCTATGGTCTAGTCAGTAACTAGCCACACACTCCAGTTATGTTGCTATGGTCTAGTCAGTAACTAGCCACACACTTCAGATCTGTTGCTATGGTCTAGTCAGTAACTAGCCACACACTTTAGATCTGTTGCTATGGTCTAGTCAGTAACAAGCCACTCCAGATCTGTTGCTCTGGTCTAGTCAGTAACTAGCCACACACTTCAGATCTGTTGCTATGGTCTAGTCAGTAACAAGCCACTCCAGATCTGTTGCTATGGTCTAGTCAGTAACTAGCCACACACTCCAGATATGTTGCTATGGTCTAGTCATTAACTAGCCACACACTCCAGATATGTTGCTATGGTCTAGTCAGTAACAAGCCACACACTCCAGATCTGTTGCTATGGTCTAGTCAGTAACAAGCCACTCCAGATATGTTGCTATGGTCTAGTCAGTAACAAGCCACTCCAGATCTGTTGCTATGGTCTAGTCAGTAACTAGCCACACACTCCAGATATGTTGCTATGGTCTAGTCATTAACTAGCCACACACTCCAGATATGTTGCTATGGTCTAGTCAGTAACAAGCCACTCCAGATCTGTTGCTATGTTCTAGTCAGTAACTAGCCACACACTCCAGATATGTTGCTATGGTCTAGTCAGTAACAAGCCACTCCAGATCTGTTGCTATGTTCTAGTCAGTAACTAGCCACACACTCCAGATATGTTGCTATGGTCTAGTCAGTAACTAGCCACACACTCCAGATCTGTTGCTCTGGTCTAGTCAGTAACTAGCCACACACTCCAGATCTGTTGCTATGGTCTAGTCAGTAACTAGCCGCACACTCCAGATCTGTTGCTATGGTCTAGTCAGTAACTAGCCACACACTCCAGATCTGTTGCTATGTTCTAGTCAGTAACTAGCCACTCAGATGTGTCCATGTCATCTGTTGCTATGAGAGTAAAACTGGTTGTTTATGACTGAAAACCTGAACATTTATTACTACATTATTCAGACTACTTTGGTTCATATGGCCATGTCAAACCTTATTATTGTAGCTTTGTTTTCTTAATTCAAATCCAAATTTAGAGGCCATTTCAAATTGTCACTTATTTTAGGTAATACACTCACTATCTGTTATTCAAACCCTGTTATTTTCCTATAATATGTTTATCAAACAATTTCACAAACAAATTCCACCCATTAGTCTGGAGGACATTTTAACCAAGTGGCACTCAGTTGAAGCATTGCTTTAGAGAGAGAGAGCTGTGTTGACTTCCTTCCTATGCAGCTCTCCTCCACACCGCAGCCGCTTTCTCAGCAGTGAGTTGATCTCTATGGTCATTCCCATTAGAACCGCTTTGCCCCTCTCCGCTCTGAATGCCTTTAATTGCCCTTGCCCTTGATGCGACAAGTCTGTGTTGGGTTTGTTATGGTTGACTGTCTGTGTGAGTGTGCGTGCGAGGGAGCCTTGCGTCCTTCAGCCCTGCTGTAAGACAGAGGCAGGACTGTGTCAGACTGTCACTCTACTTTACTTCACTGAGCTCCTATCCTCCCTGGGATATTCTCCTCCTACCATCTCTACATGTTCACAAGGACACACACACACACACACACACACACTGCACCCTTACCCCTGTACACTCCTGTTAAAGGAGACAACACAGAGATGAGCTCTACCCATCCCTTCACATTCACACATCCCTCTCCACACCCCTATCAGAGGAGCTGTCCCCAACCATCCAACCACCTAACACTCTGTCCCTGTCCTCACCCCTATCAGAGGAGTTGTCCCCAACCATCCAACCACCTAACACTCTCTCCCTGTCCTCACCCCTGTCAGAGGGCCACAACTATACCCTTCTAACCCCCATCCCCTCTGTTTTTTCCAGGGAGGTGGAGTTTGTCCAGAAGGAGGATGCAGAGAGAAAGAGGCTGGAGGATACAGAGAAGGCCCACCTGGAGGAGATCCAGGGACTGCAAGTCAGGGTAACTATGCTTTCTCTGTATATTCCCTCTACCATTTTCTCAATGCTGCTGATTACACCCATTCCTTTATAGGTGACCATTCAGTACATACTTGCCACAGTACATGGCTTTGATGTACATGTATAAGCTTACAATACTGACTGTGTACAGTGCAAAGCTGTCTAAGTACAAGATAAATCCCTTATGTAATTCCCCCAGTTCAACATTAGTACACTGCCTTGATTAGACATTTCCCCTGCTGGTACATGCTGTTGCCAGTGGAGGGAGCCACTGTTCAGCCACCCTTCATGGGTCGCTAACCCTGAAACTCATTTGAAACGGTTTCTTCACAGATTGCAGCCCTGGAGTCTGAGCTGATGCAACTGATGAAACAAAATGGCATCCAGGTGAACAACAACAACAACAGTGCCCAACAGCAGAGTCCTGGGATGGCTGGCCCTGCCAGAGGTAAGTCTCAGGGAGATGGAGAGATCCAGAGCTCATATTCTAGTATAGCTTCCTCCCCAGGCAGTAATACCCACACTGTGGAAATAGAATACACATTACTGGTTATATACAGATGATTGACCCTGAATCTTCCATCCATTCTAATTTTAGCAGACATTCTTATCCAGAGCGACATACAGGAGCAATTAGGGTTAAGTGCCTTGCTCAAGGGAACATCGACAGACTTTTCACCTAGTCAGCTTGGGGATTCGAACCAGCGCTCTTAACCGCTAGGCTACCTGCCTCCCTCTCATCCCCCATGGCTCACTTCTCTTCCCTATGGGCCCTGGTCAAAAGTAGTGCATGGAATAGGGTGCCATTTGGGATGAACCGACTGTGTAGATGATGCATTGTTTACAGCATGTACTGTGAGAGAGATTCAGGACACTATTTCCATAACTGTTATAGAGCGCGCCAGCTTGTAGTCCTAAAACCCAGAAATAAGTTACCTTTGGTTCGTTCAGCCATTCCTATAGGGAAAATGAATGGGGAAAGAATAGGGTTTTGGGATAAATGTTGAAAATAAGGTCTGACGTTAACACAGGCTTAGGAGATCTTAGACGTTTTGTTCTATGAGATAAGATTAGTCAGTTAACATTACCTTTATGAGTTATGAAGCCTTTGTGATTTATGTGCTTTTTATTATTACATAAATTCTTCAAAATTCACAAAAAGTGACATTAGCTGATGAAGATTATCTCATAGAACAAAGCGTATAAGATCTCTTAAATCTGTGTTTACCACAGACCTTATTTTTGGCGTTTATCCAAGACCCCTACAAAAACACCATTCCTTTTCCTCATAGGCTTTGTCCAATGAACCATGGCGGAGTTAGTGCCTACAAAAAGACGCCATTACTATTTCTGTCTTTTGCCAATGTAACAAGGACAGCTTGTCCTCCCATCACCGTATCTCTGTCTTAGCTATAAGTCTCTATCAGGGTATTTCAATAGAGGGCATTGGAGGAGACATTACACATCCTTAGGAGGGATTGATATGTCAGTGTCACTCAAACCCTGAGATACACCCTACATCTCTCCTATCAGCTCCTTTCCTATTTCCTATGCCCTCAAACTCTGCTGTTATTGCCTTATTTGGGACATGGAGGGGCAAACAAGGACTGTGTCTGACTACAAATGGCAACCAATTGGCTCTGGTCAAAAGTAGTGCACTATTTTTCTATTTTTTATTTCACCTTTATTTAACCAGGTAAGACAGTTGAGAACAAGTTCTAATTTACAACTGCGACCTGGCCAAGATAAAGCAAAGCAGTGCGATAAAAACAACAACACAAGAGTTACATATCGGGTAAACAAAACATAAAGTCAAAAATACAACTGAAAATATATATACAGTGTGTGCGAATGTAGTAAGTTATGGAGGTAAGGCAATAAATAGGCCATAGTGCAAAATAGTTACAATTTCGTATTAACACTGGAATGATAGATGTGCAAATAGAGATACTGGGGTGCAAATGAGCAAAATAAATAACAATATGGGGATGAGGTAGTTGGGTGGGCTAATTTCAGAATGGCTGTGTACAGGTGCAGTGATCGGTAAGCTGCTCTGACAACTGACACTTAAAGTTAGTGAGGGAGATAAGAGTCTCCAGCTTCAGAGATTTTTGCAGTTCGTTCCAGTCATTGGCAGCAGAGAACTGGAAGGAATGGCGGCCAAAGGAGCTGTTGTGTCACAGCGACGTGTATGCATTTACATTTACATTTTAGTCACTTAGCAGACGCTCTTATCCAGAGCGACTTACAGGAGCAATTAGGGTTAAGTGCCTTGCTCAAGGGGACATCAACAGATTTTTCACCTAGTCGGCTCGGGGATTAGAACCAGCGACCTTTCGGTTACTGGCACAACGCTCTTAACCACTAAGCTACCTGCCGCCCCTGCCGCTACCTGCATTCAACTGAAATGTCTTCCGCATTTAACCCCACCCCTCAGAGAGGTGCGGGGGGGCTGCCTTAATCGACATCCATGTCATCGGCACCCAATGCTAAGGCTTGTGCTGCAGTCAGAAACAGAAATGATTCTAGCTAGTTCATTGCTGGAGTGAGTAACTGACGGCATAAATAATGAGGAAGTTAATTAGCGGGGATAGCTTTGTCTCGACTCTGGTGTGGCTGGGGTGATAATCCACAGAGAGAAACTGGCTACAGGAACAAAACTGCCTGCTTTACCTTTCCTGCCAAAAGCTTAAACTGATGAGGGAAAACAATTGCCAGATGAACACCCCGTCCTATCAGCACATCTACAACAAACATCATCTGCAACTGATCAAGGCTGAAACAAAAACCTCTAGAGACCACAAGCCTTAAAATGAAACTCAGAAATAGTGTAGAAAAAAGGAAATCCAGTTTAAAAATATTTGATTCAAAATAAAATGTTTATGCCCACATCAGGTGGTCATTTTGAGGAGTGCCCAAAATTTTGACAAGGCGTAAAGTATCTAGGGGACCAGGATGGTGCATCCCCTTCACCGGTGACACTCAAGCTGGACTTGAGGACAGATGTTCTAAATAGTCAGATGGATGCTGAGGTCCTAGTCCTGCTCCATGGGCTCCTCACTGGTCCCCGTGTCCAGGCTGCCGCTCTCCATGGCGCCCTCTGCAGGTGGCTCAGGAGTACTGCTGGAGGGAGCAGGGGCTCTCTCTTTCCTGGCTCCGATCTCCTCACTGCTACTGCTGCTGACGCTACTGCTGCTTCTGCTGACTGGGTCACTGCCTTCATCGCTGTCCCGGGCCTCAGGGCTCTCCAGGACTCAAGTATGCGGTAGGCGAAGTCAAGAGCAGGACACCGAGCTACTGGCAGAAACTTTACTGAATGCAGTGCAAAATACAAAGTACACAGGCAGCCTCAAACAGCGAGGAAATAATAAGACCCGCATACATGGGCAACTGCCGCAAAGACCAAAACAATTATGCACAATACACAATGAGAAACAGAGGGTTATAAAGGGAACACAGTAAAACATAATGGGAAACAGGAAACAATAAAGACCAAACAAGACAAACACAGAAACATCGATCGGCAGCAGCTAGTACTCCAGGGACGACGAACGCCGAAGCCTGCCCGAGCAAGGAGGAGGAGCAGCCTCGGCTGAATCCATGACAGTACCCCCCCCCCCCCTTGACGCGCGGCTCCAGCCGTGCGCCGACCCCGGCCTCGGGGACAGCCAGAAGGACGCGGAGCAGGGCGAGTCGGATGACTCCGCTGGAAATCCCTCAACATGGAGGGATCTAGGATGTCCCTCCTAGGGACCCAGCACCGTTCCTCCGGACCGTACCCCTCCCACTCCACGAGATACTGCAGGCCCCCCATCCGACGCCTCGAATCCAAGATGGAACGGACTGAGTACGCCGGAGCCCCCTCGATGTCCAGCGGGGGCGGAGGAGCCTCTCGTACCTCACTCTCCTAGAGTGGACCAGCTACTACCGGCCTGAGGAGAGACACATGGAACGAGGGGTTAATGCGGTAATTAATGGGCAGTTGTAACCTATAACATACCTCGTTCAATCTCCTCAGGACTATAAATGGCCCCACAAACCGCCAACCCAGCTTCCGGCAGGGCAGGCGAAGGGGCAGGTTTCGGGTCGAGAGCCAGACCCGATCTCCCGGTGCATACACCGGAGCCTCACTGCTGTGGCGATCGGCGCTCGCCTTTTGCCGCCTGATCGCTCGCTGTAGATGGACATGCTTCGATCTGGCTCTGATGCCAAGGTGCCAGGACCGGCTGATAACCTAGCACACACTGGAAAGGAGTAAGGTTAGTAGAGGAGTGGCAAAGTGAGTTTTGGGCTATTTCTGCCCAGGGGATATATTCCGACCACTCCCCCTGCCGGTCCTGGCAATAGGACCTCAGAAACCTACCCACATCCTGGTTCACTCTCTCCACCTGCCCATTACTCTCGGGGTGAAACCCTAAGGTAAGGCTAATCGAGACCCCCAGACGTTCCATAAACGCCCTCCAGACTCTAGAGGTGAACTGGGGACCCCGATCAGACACTATATCCTCAGGTACCCCGTAGTGCTGGAAGACGTGTGTAAACAGGGCGTCAGCAGTTTGTAGGGCTGTATGGAGACCTGGCATAGGAATGAGACGGCAGGCCTTTGAAAACCGATCCACAACGACCAAGATCGTTGTATTCCCCTGGGAGGGGGGAAGGTCCGTGACGAAATCCACCAAGAGGTGAGACCACGGTCGTTGTGGAACGGGTAGGGGTTGTAATTTCCCTCTGGGTAGTTGTCTAGGCGCCTTACACTGAGCGCACACCGAGCAGGAGGAAACATAAACCCTCACGTCCTTAGCCAAAGTGGGCCACCAGTACTTTCCACTAAGGCAGTGCACTGTCCGTCCAATACCAGGATGGCCAGAGGAAGGTGACATGTGAGCCCAATATATTAATCGATCACAAACCTCGAGCGGCACGTACTTCCGACCCTCTGGACACTGTGGGGGAGTAGGATCGGTACGTAACGCCCGCTCAATGTCCGCATCAACCTCCCATACCACCGGTGCCACCAGACAAGACTCCGGAAGTATGGGAGTAGGCTCAATGGACCTCTCCTCTGTGTCATATAGTCGGGACAGGGCGTCTGCCTTAGCGTTCGGTGACCCTGGTCTATAGGTGAGCGTAAATACAAATCGGGTGAAAAACATAGCCCACCTAGCCTGGCGAGGGTTCAGCCTCCTCGCCGCCCGGATGTACTCCAGGTTACGATGGTCAGTCAAAATGAGAAAAGGGTGTTTAGCCCCCTCAAGCCAATGCCTCCACACCTTCAGGGCTTGCACCACAGCTAACAGCTCCCTGTCCCCCACATCATAATTGCGCTCCGCCGGACTGAGCTTCTTAGAAAAGAAAGTACAGGGGCAGAGTTTGTGGTGGCGTACCCGAGCGCTGAGACAGTACAGCACCGATCCCAGCCTCGGACGCATCCACCTCAACTTGGAACGCCAAAGAGGGATCCGGATGTGCCAGCACCGGAGCCGAGGTAAACAGGTCCTTCAGATGCCTAAAAGCCCTGTCCGCCTCAGTCGACCACTGCAGACGCACCGGACCCCCCTTTAGCAGGGAGGTAATGGGAGCTGCTACCTGCCCAAAGCCCCAGATAAACCTCCGGTAGTAATTGGCAAAACCCAAGAACCGCTGCACCTCCTTCACCGTGGTGGGAGTCGGCCAATTGCGCACGGCTGAAACATGCCCACCCCTGACGCGGACAACCGGTGTCCCAGGAAGGAGATGGACTCCTGGAAGAACAGACATTTCTCCGCCTTTGCATACAGGTCATGCTCCAACAGTCTACCAAGCACCCGACGAACCAGGGACACATGCTCTGCGCGGGTAGCGGAGTATATTAGAATGTCATCAATATACACCACTACACCCTGTCCATGTAAGTCCCAGAAAATCTCATCCACAAACGATTGGAAGATGGAAGGAGCATTCATTAACCCGTATGGCATGACGAGGTACTCATAGTGACCCGAGGTGGTACTGTATGCTGTCTTCCACTCATCTCCCTCCCTAATCCGCACCAGGTTGTACGCGCTCCTGAGATCGAATTTTGTGAAGAATCGCGCCCTGTGTAATGACTCCGTCATACTAGCAATCAGAGGGAGAGGATAGCTAGATTTGATGGTGATCTGATTGAGACCACGGTAGTCAATACACGGGCGTAAACCCCCATCTTTCTTCTTCACAAAAAAGAAACTCGAGGACGCAGGGGAAGTGGACGGCCGTATGTATCCCTGTCTCAGCGATTCAGCGACATATGTTTCCATAGCCGCCGTCTCCGCCTGAGACAGAGGATACACATGGCTACATGGAAGCACAGCGCCTACTTGGAGGTTTATCGCACAATCCCCCTGGAATGTGCATGGTGGGAACCTGGTTCAGGACTTTCCACCGTCGTGGCCCCTACGGAAACACCCACACACCTCCCGACACACTGATCAAACCATCCCTTGAGAGCCCTCTGTTGCCATGAAATGTTGGGGTCATGAGACGTCAACCAGGGAAGCCCCAACACCACGTGAAATGCAGGAGAGTCAATCAAATAAAACCGAATTATCTCCTCATGGCCCTCCTGCGTTTTCATCCTGAGCGGCGCCGTGACCTCCCTAATCAACCCAGACCCCAAAGGGCGACTATCTAGGGCATGGATAGGGAAGGGCACATCCACTGGAACTATAGGAATCCCTAACTTATGGGTGAAATGGCGATCGATAAAATTCCCAGCTGCGCCTGAATCGACTAGCGCCTTATGCTGGGAATCAGGAGAAACCTCGGGAAACACAACTTTAATACACATATGCGCAACAGGGAGCTCTGGGTGAGTTGGGCGCCTTCTCACCTGGAATGACTCATCAGTGCGCGGCCTACAGCCTCGATTCCGAGGAGACCCTCCCCAGCACCGACCAGCAGTGTGTCCTCTGCGGCCACAGTTGGTGCAGGGGACGGCCTCTCTCCTGGTCTCTCTCCTAGTACCAGCACCTCCGAGCTCCATCAGGGTCGGCTCAGGAAGTGCTGGGGGATGGAATGGACGGCCCTGAGTCCGGACGTCCGCAGGCAGCCAACAGGGTGTCCAGGCGAATCGACATGTCCACCAGTTGATCGAAGTTTAGGTTGGTGTCCCTGCAGGCCAATTCCCGACGCACGTCCTCCCTCAAGCTACATCTGTAGTGGTCGATGAGGGCCCTCTCATTCCATCCCGCGTTGGCAGCCAGTGTCCGGAAGTCCAGTGCGAACTCCTGCGCGCTCCTCCTCCCCTGTCGAAGGTGGAATAGACGTTCACCCGCCGCCTTACCCTCTGGTGGATGATCGAATACTGCCCTGAAGCGGCGGGTGAACTCTGCATAATTGACTGTAGCGGCGTCTATTCCCCCCCACTCGGCGTTGGCCCACTCCAGCGCCTTGCCGGACAGACAGGAGATGAGGGCGGACACGCTCTCGTATCCCGAGGGCGCCGGGTGGATGGTTGCCAGGTAGAGTTCCACCTGGAGCAGGAAACCCTGACACCCGGCAGCTGTGCCATCATAAGCCCTCGGGAGCGAGAGCCGAATCCCACTGGACCCTGGAGATGAAGCGATGGGCATAGCTGATGGTGGTGGTATCGTCGGAGGAGGTGTAGACCAACTTCTTCTTTCCCATCGCTCCACGGTTTTCACCACCTGTTCCATGGCGGTGCCGAGAGCCTGGATCATAGCCGCTTGTTGTTCTACGCGCTCTTCTATTGATCCAGCTGGCACCGCCGCTCCTGCTGACTCCATCTCTAAAGGTGCGAAATTCTGTCACAGCGACGTGTATGCGGTAGGCGAAGTCAAGAGCAGGACACCGAGCTACTGGCAGAAACTTTACTGGATGCAGTGCAAAATACAAAGTACACAGGCAACCTCAAACAGCGAGGAAATAATAAGACCCGCACACATGGGCAACTGCCGCAAAGACCAAAACAATTACGCACAATACACAATGAGAAACAGAGGGTTATAAAGGGAACACAATAAAACATAATGGGAAACAGGTGTAAACAATAAAGACCAAACAAGACAAACACCGAAACATCGATCGGCAGCAGCTAGTACTCCGGGGACGACGAACGCCGAAGCCTGCCCGAGCAAGGAGGAGGAGCAGCCTCGGCTGAATCCGTGACATGTTGGCTTTGGGGATGACCAGTGAGATATACCTGCTGGAGCGCAGACTAGGGGTGGGTGTTGCTATGGTGACCAGTGAGCTAAGATAAGACAGGGATTTGCCTAGCAGTGATTTAAAGATGACCTGGAGCCAGTGGGTTTGGCGACGAATATGTAGTGAGGACCAGCCAACAAGAGCGTACAGGTCACAGTGGTGTGTAGTATATGGGGCTTTGGTGACAAAACGGATGGCACTGTGATAGACTACATCCAATTTGCTGAGTAGAGTGTTGGAGGCTATTTTGTAAAAGACATTGCCGAAGTCAAGGATCGGTAGGATAGTCAGTTTTACGAGGGCATGTTTGGCAGCATGAGTGAAGGAGGCTTTGTTGCGAAACAGGAAGCCAATTCTGGATTTAACTTTGGATTGGAGATGCTTAATGTGAGTCTGGAAGGAGAGTTTACAGTCTAACCAGACACCTAGGTACAGTGGGGGAAAAAGTATGGGGGTTAGTGTGTCATTTGGGAAGCAGCTTGTATTAATGCATACTGTGATCACTAGCTCTAAGACTTACAGTAGCCAAAGGCTTGAGATGTGTCCTTGGATTAAAGCTTGTTTTGTTTGTTGCTCCTCTTCTGCAAATCCCTCTTATTATTTTTGCCCCCACCGTGCATTACCTCTGAATGCACTTTGAACTTTGACCTCGTACTCCAATGCCACTTCAGTAAACAAACCAACAGTAAACCATCGCATACAACATCTGTCCTTAAGACGTAAACACATGGTTGCGTCCCAAATGACACCCTACTTCCTATTTAGTGCACTACTTTTGAGAAAAAAAAGTAGTGCACTATGTAGGAAATAGGGTCCCATTTGGGATCCATAATTTCACTGTCCTTTTTTCTTCTGGGCTCCTCTGGCTTCTTCCAGTCCCAGTCTATTATAATGGATGCAGCGGCCCTTGATCTGCCATCTCCAGGAGCCATAATAGACCTGATGAGGGCACAGTGGGCAGTCTCTGAGTAATGATCCAGATCTGGAGAGACTGAATGAGGCAGTTGATTAAGCAATATCAGGGAGAGAGAGAGGGGGTAGGGCGGAAGGGGGAACGAGGCGGAGGGGGAGAGAGGCGGAGGGAGGGAGGGAGGGACCTGTTCTCTGATTAGTTCTGTGATTAGTTCTGTGATTAGTCCTGTGATTAGTTCTGTGATTTAGTGTGGTGTGATTTTTGTGTGTATTTACATACCGTTCATACAGTCCTGTAAATCTATCCATAGTAAAGTAAGTAGGCTTGGCTTGTGAGTGCCAAAACGGCTCATAGAACAGGAGCCTATCTCCTGTTTCTATAGCGTGAGGCATCTTGATGTCCAAGTACACCCCCTAGACAGGACGCTAGTCTAAGGAGATTGATTGGGGGTAAGGGCCTGCGATAGATCTACACATGTATGGTACCGAATGACAAACAGCCTCTCTTTTATCATAGATTAGTGGTTAAGAGCGTTGTGCCAGTAACCGAAAGGTCGCTGGTTCTAATCCCCGAGCTAACTAGGTGAAAAATCTGTCGATGTGCCCTTGAGCAAGGCACTTAACCCTAATTGCTCCTGTAAGTCGCTCTGGATAAGAGCGTCTGCTAAATGACAAAAATTTAAATGTAAAATGTAATATACAGTACCAGTTAAAAGTTTGGACACACCTACTCATTCAAGGGTTTTTCTTTATTTTTACTATTTTCTACATTGTAGAACTATGAAATAACACATATAGAATCATGTAGTAACCAAAAAAGTGTTAAACAAATCAAAATAGATTTTATAATTGAGATTCTTCAAATAGCCACCCTTTGCCTTGATGACAGCTTTGCACACTCTTGGCATTCTCTCAACCAGTTTCACCTGGAATGCTTCTCCAACAGTCTTGTAGGAGTTCCCACATATGCTGAGCACTTGTTGGCTGCTTTTCCTTCACTCTGCGGTCCGACTCATCCCAAACGATCTCAATTTGGTTGAGGTCGGGGGATTGTGGAGGCCAGGTCATCTGATGCAGCACTCCATCACTCTCCTTCTTGGTAAAATAGCCCCTACACAGCCTGGAGGTGTGTTGGGTCATTGTCCTGTTGAAAAACAAATTATAGTCCCACTAAGCCCAAACCAGATGGGATGGTGTATCGCAGCAGAATGCTGTGGTAGCCATTCTGGTTAAGTGTGCCTTGAATTCTAAATAAATCACAGACAGTGTCATCAGCAAAGCACCCCCAGAACATAACACCTCCTCCTCCATGCTTTACGGTGGGAAATACACATGCGGAGATCATCCGTTCACCCACACCGAGTCTCACAAAGACACAGCGGTTGGTACCAAAAATCTCAAATTTTGACTCCAGAGGACAGATTTCCACCGGTCTAATGTCCATTGCTCGTGTTTCTTGGCCCAAGCAAGTCTCTTCTTCTTATTGTGTGTCCTTTAGTAGTAGTTTCTTTGCAGAAATTCGACCATGAAGGCCTGATTCACACAGTCTCCTCTGAACAGTTGATGTTGAGATGAGTCTGTTACTTGAACTCTGTGAAGCATTTATTTGGGCTGCAATTTCAGAGGATGGTAAATCTAATGAACTTATCCTCTGCAGCAGAGGTAACTCTGGGTCTTCCATTCCTGTGGCGGTCCTCATGAGAGCCAGTTTCATCATAGCACTTGATGGTTTTTGCGGCTGCACTTGAAGAAACTTTCAAAGTTCTTGAAATGTTCCGTATTGACTGACCTTCGTGTCTTAAACTAATGATGGACTGTCATTTCTCTTTGCTTATTTGAGCTGTTCTTGCCATAATATGGACTTATTTTACCAAATAGGGCTATATTCTGTATAGCCCCACTACCTTGTCACAACACAACTGATTGGCTCAAACGCATTAAGAAGGAAAGAAATTCCACACATTAACTTTTAAGAAGACACACCTGTTAATTGAAATGCATTCCAGGTGACTACCTCATGAAGCTGGTTGAAAGAATGCCATGAGTGTGCAAAGATGTCATCAAGGCAAAGGGTGGCTACTTTGAAGAATCTCAAATATAAAATCTATTTGTGTAACACTTTTATGGTTACTTTAAATTCCATATGTGTTATTTCATAGTTTTGATGTCTTCACTATTATTCTACAATGTAAAAAATAGTCAAAATAAAGAAAAACCCTTGAATGAGTAGGTGTGTCCAAACTTTTGATTGGTAGTGTATATTTTCATGTAATTCTATAGCAAGAGGACCTTTGTTAGCCTGGTCCCAGATCTGTTTACACTATAATGTTGAGTCCTTGTCATGCCAAACATGATAGCACAAACAGATCTGGGATCAGGCTAGACCTTTATGACTGTTGTAGACATGTAATTGATGATAACTAAGGATGTGTGTGTTGTTCCAGAGCTGAGTGAGGCGGATCCCCACACTGGAAGCAAACAGAGACTCTCCAGAGGACTACTACAGGACAGCATCAGCTCTACAGAGGGAGAGGTTTGTATGGACACACACACGCATGGTGAACGCATGGGCACACTCGCATGGTGAACACACACATGAGCACACACACATGTGCACACACAGGACCTGTTCTGCTGACTCACACAGACTTTAGTCTCAATGATGATATCATCAGTCTGCTATAATCACTACCAGATGTTGGATCAACATTACTCATTGAAAATGAATTGAACTGGTTTCATATTATGTTTTATTCAAGTGAATCATGCAGAGAGTGTGTGTGGGTAGCCCTGTCTGTCCTCTGCCCTTATATAAAAGCCTTTATGTAATGTATTAATTACTGGCTACGAGTCTGTGCCCTGCGGCAGACCTATTTAATCCTGAGTGGTGTCAAAACCTATTCTCCCTCCTTACTGAGTTAATTGCTGGGAAAGTCTCTTTTGGAAAACACTATTTCCCAGTTATAAGCTTTTTCCCTTAATCAGCAATAATATTGAGCAGTGGTTCACCCCCAAATGTCACCCTATTCCCTTTATAATGCACTGCTTTGGACCAGGGCCCATAGGACTCAGCACTATATAGGGAATAGGGTGCCATTTGGGACGCAATCTCGGAATATAGTATATAGGCTTAGAAAAGCAGGAAGACAGACAGTCACCAGCCACTGTACTGAAGACAGACAGTCATCAGCCACTATACTGAAGACAGACAGTCACCAGCCACTATACTGAAGAAAGACAGTCACTATACAGAAGACAGACAGTCACCAGCCACTATACAGAGGACAGACAGTCACCAGCCACTATACTGAAGACAGACAGTCACCAGCCACTATACTGAAGACAGACAGTCACCAGCCACTATACAGAGGACAGACAGTCACCAGCCACTATACTGAAGAAAGACAGTCACCAGCCACTATACTGAAGACAGACAGTCACCAGCCACTATACTGAAGACAGACAGTCACCAGCCACTGTACTGAAGACAGACAGTCACCAGCCACTATACAGAAGACAGACAGTCACCAGCCAGTATACTGAAGACAGACAGTCACCAGCCACTGTACTGAAGACAGACAGTCACCAGCCACTATACAGAAGACAGACAGTCACCAGCCACTATACAGAAGACAGACAGTCACCAGCCACTATACTGAAAACAGATAGCCACCAGCCACTGTACTGAAGACAGACAGTCACCAGCTACTATACTGAAGACAGACAGTCACCAGCCAATATACAGAGGACAGACAGTCACCAGTCACTGTACTGAAGACAGACAGTCACCAGTCACTATACAGAAGACAGACAGTCACCAGCCACTATACAGAAGACAGACAGTCACCAGCCACTATACTGAAAACAGACAGTCACCAGCCACTATACTGAAGACAGACAGTCACCAGACACTGTACTGAAGACAGACAGTCACCAGCCACTGTACTGAAGACAGACAGTCACCAGTCACTGTACTGAAGACAGACAGTCAACAGTCACTATACAGAAGACAGACAGTCACCAGCCACTATACAGAAGACAGACAGTCACCAGCCACTATACTGAAAACAGACAGTCACCAGCCACTATACAGAAGACAGACAGTCACCAGACACTGTACTGAAGACAGACAGTCACCAGCCACTATACTGAAGACAGACAGTCACCAGCCACTGTACTGAAGACAGACAGTCACCAGCCAATATACAGAGGACAGACAGTCACCAGCCACTGTACTGAAGACAGACAGTCACCAGTCACTGTACTGAAGACAGACAGTCACCAGCCACTATACTGAAAACAGACAGTCACCAGCCACTGTACTGAAAACAGACAGTCACCAGCCACTATACTGAAGACAGAAAGTCACCAGACACTACACAGAGGAGACAGTACCAGCCACTATACTGAAGACAGTCACCAGACACTGTACTGAAGACAGACAGTCACCAGCCACTATACAGAAGACAGACAGTCACCAGCCACTATACAGAGGACAGACAGTCACCAGCCACTATACTGAAGACAGACAGTCACCAGCCACTATACAGAAGACAGACAGTCACCAGCCACTATACAGAGGACAGACAGTCACCAGCCACTATACTGAAGACAGACAGTCACCAGCCACTATACAGAAGACAGACAGTCACCAGCCACTATACTGAAAACAGACAGTCACCAGCCACTATACAGAAGACAGACAGTCACCAGACACTGTACTGAAGACAGACAGTCACCAGCCACTATACTGAAGACAGACAGTCACCAGCCACTGTACTGAAGACAGACAGTCACCAGCCACTATACAGAAGACAGACAGTCACCAGCCACTATACAGAGGACAGACAGTCACCAGCCACTATACAGAAGACAGACAGTCACCAGCCACTATACAGAAGGAAGTCATGCAATTAGTGTGTAACCTTTACTACGGTAAGATAACCACCTGAGGATAATGATGCAGAGAAGGAGGGAGGGAGGGAGGGAGGGAGGGAGGGAGGGAGGGAGGGAGGGAGGGAGGGAGAGAACATGTTTCATTTACAGAGCTAGGTGGCTGTCAGGTGTCTCAGGGTGGGCTGTCTCAGGGTGGACTGTCTCAGGGTAGACTGTCTCAGGGTAGACTGTCTCAGGGTAGACTGTCTCAGTTTCTCTGATTTTTGATAGCATTGTTAAAGTAAATCTCTCTCTGTGTTCATCTCTCTGTCTCTTTCTATCTCCTTCCATCTTTCTCCTTCTTTATTGATCCCTCCCTCCATCCTTCTTACTCTGTCCCCCCTTCTCCTTCCCCCCCCCCCCCCCCCTCTCTCTCTCTCTCTCTCTCTCTCGCTTCCCAGGCATCAGAGAGCCCTGGCAGTACTTGTTCGTCCATCCGGAGTGCAGCCTCCAGTACTGTGGATGAGTCCAGAGCCTCCAGGGCCCCTGGCAGTGCTGAGGGCTCCCCCAGACACAACCTCCTTCAGCAGGCTGCAGACAACAACGGTCAGTGTAGAACCACATCATACACCATTATACCTAAAGTGTTATCCACATCATTAAAGGTGCTCCAAGATGGCGTAGCAGTGTGGTCGTGTACTCTGTAGTGTGTCCGTGTAAATAGCCTGTATTTTTTTTTTTTTTAATATATTTCCCTATCACACTTTTCATCCTTCTACTAAATATACTTTCCTGCAACCCGCCTCACTCAATGTGGAACGGATTCTATTATTGACGTACCTTTTATCTAGAATCTCCAGTTGAAACTAGCTAGCCAGCTAACTAGCTACTTGCTATTAGCCACCGTTAGCGTTTTTTCACCCAGAACATCGGATTTTCTGCCGGAATAACTGAATCACTGGACCTTAACACCGGATCGCAACTAGCTAGCCGCAACCGAATGGATGTTGCTGTTGGCTAATCACCACTGCCCCCGAAGCAAGCACCAGTTAGCCTTGAGCTAGCCGCGAGCCAGGCCCATATCCCGGCTATCTACCTCTCTGTCTACCGGATGGGAGTAGCCAGCTAACTAGCTACTTGCTATTAGCCACCGTTAGCGGTTTTTCACCATTGTCCGTGGCCTGCACTACCTACCAGCCAGCTCTAGCCTGGACTATTATCGGCCAGTCTGCACTGTCTGCACAGCACGTTATCGACCCAGAACATATCTGATTTTCTGCCGGAATCACTGAATCACTGGACCTTTAACACCGGATCATCGCAACTAGCTAGCTGCAACCGAATGGATGTTGTTGTTGGCTAATCAGCCTTGAGCTAGCCTCGAGTCAGGCCCATCTCCTGGCTATCTACCTCTCTGTCAACCGGACGGGACCTTCTAGTGTCAACACGGAGCCCCGCCGATCCATCACGACTGGTCTGCCGACGTAATCGTCTGTGGTTTCAACAGGCTTCCCGTTGCGACGACCACGAAGATCCATCTGCTAGCCCCGGCCCGCAAGCACACGCAATCAACAGCCGTGCTTCCTGCTCGCCTGTGCTGTAGCACCAATTCGAACTGCTCTCGGACTCACATATTGCTGTTCACTGGACCTTATGATCACTCAGCTGCACAGCTGATGCCTGCTGGACTGTTCCTTTACACGATACCCTGTCCTGTTTATCTGTTTAGCCTCAGCCCAAACTTTCATCGCCATTACCAGTTGTTGTCGTCTTAGCTCTCTCGAATAACACCTGTGATTGCTTTATGCCTCTCTCCCATGTCAATATGCCTTGCCTATTGCTGTTCCAGTTAGTTCTTATTATACAATTTCACTGTAGAGCCCCAAGTCCCTCTCAAACTGCCTCAAATAGCTCCTTTGTTCCACCCCCTATACACGCGGAGACCGGCTCAATCAGTGCATCCAGTGATGCTATCTCTTTCATTGTTACCCAACGCTTAGGTTTAACTCCACTGTACTCATATCCTTCCATATCCTTGTCTGTACATAATGCCCTCAATCTATTCTACAACGCCCGGAAATCTTCCCTTTTTATTCTCTGTACCCAACGCACTAGAAGACCAGTTCTTAAAGCCTTTAGCCGTATCCTTATTCTAGTCCTCCTCTGTTCCTCTGGTGATGTAGAGGTTAACCCAGGCCCTGCAGCCCCCAGTATCACTCCTACTCCCCAGGCGCTATCATTGGTTGACTTCTGTAAACGTAAAAGCCTTGGTTTTTTGCATGTTAACATCAGAAGCCTCCTCCCTAAGTTTGAGTTATTCACTGCGTTAGCACACTCCGCCAACCCTGATGTTCTAGCAGTGTCTGAATCCTGGCTTAGGAAGGCCACCAAAAATGCAGAAATGTCCATCCCCAACTACAACATTTTCCGTCTAGATAGAACTGCCAAAGGGGGTGGAGTTGCAATCTACTGTAGAGATAGCCTGCAGAGCTCTATCATACTATCCAGGTCTGTGCCCAAACAGTTTGAGCTCCTACTTTAAAAAATCCACCTTTCCAGAAATAAGTCTCTCACTGTTGCCGCTTGCTACAGACCCCCCTCAGCCCTCAGCTGTGCCCTGGACACCATATGTGAATTGATTGCCCCCCATCTATCCTCAGAGTTCGTACTGCTTGGTGACCTAAACTGGGACTATACTTAACACCCCGGCCATCCTACAATCCAAACTAGATGCCCTTAATCTCACACAAATTATCAAGGAACCTACCAGGTACAACTCTAAATCCGTAAACATGGGCACCCTCATAGATATCATCCTGACTAACTTACCCTCTAAATACACCTCCGCTGTCTTCAACCAGGATCTCAGCGATCACTGCCTTATTGCCTGCGTCCATAACGGGTCCGCGGTCAAACGACCACCCCTCATCACTTTAAAATGCCCCCTAAAACACTTTAGCGAGCAGGCCTTCCTAATTGACCTGGCCCAGGTATCCTGGATGGATATCGATCTCATTCCGTCAGTAGAGGATGCCTGGTTGTTCTTTAAAAGTGCTTTCCTCTCAATCTTAAATAAGCATGCCCCATTCATAAAATTCAGAACTAAGAACAGATATAGCCCCTGGTTCTCCTCAGACTTGACTGCCCTTGACCAGCACAAAAACATCCTGTGGCATACTGCATTAGCATCGAATAGCCCCCGCGATATGCAACTTTTCAGGGAAGTCAGGAAAGCAAAGGCTAGCTTTTTCAAACAGACATTTGCATCCTGTAGCACTAACTCCAAAATGTTTTGTGACACTGTAAAGTCCATGGAGAATAAGAGCACCTCCTCCCAGCTGCCCACTGCACTGAGGCTAGGAAACACTATCACCACCGATAAATCTACAATAATCGAGAATTTCAACAGGCATTTTGCTACGGCTGGCCATGCTTTCCACCTGGCTACCACTACCCCGGCCACCAGCTCTGCACCCTCCGCTGCAACTTGCCCATGCCCCATGTCTTAAGGACAGATGTTGTATGCGATGATTTACTGTTGGTTTGTTTACTGAAGTGGCATTGGAGTACGAGGTCCAAGTTCAAAGTGCATTCAGAGGTAATGCACGGTGGGGGCAAAAATAATAAGAGGGATTTGCAGAAGAGGAGCAACAAACAAAACAAGCTTTAATCCAAGGACACATCTCAAGCCTTTGGCTACTGTAAGTCTTAGAGCTAGTGATCACAGTATGCATTAATACAAGCTGCTTCCCAAATGACACACTATTCCCTACATAGTTCTCCTCAGACTTGACTGCCCTTGACCAGCACAAAAACATCCTGTGGCGTACTGCATTAGCATCGAACAGCCCCCGCGATATGCAACTTTTCAGGAAGTTAGGAACCAATATACATAATCAGTTAGGAAAGCAAAGGCTAGCTTTTTCAAACAGAAATGTGCATCCTGTAGCACTAACTCCAAAAAGTTTTGGGACACTGTAAAGTCCATGGAGAATAAGAGCACCTCCTCCCAACAGCCCACTACACTGAGGCTAGGAAACACTGTCACCACCGATAAATCTACAATAATTGCGAATTTCAACAAGCATTTTGCTACGGCTGGCCATGCTTTCCACCTGGCTACCACTACCCCGGCCACCAGCTCTGCACCCTGCCCATGCCCCCCCCCCCCCCCCCCCCCCCCGCTTCTCCTTCACACAAATTCAGACAGCTGATATTTTGAAAGAGCTGAAAAATCTGGACCCCTACAAATCAGCTGGGCTAGACAATCTGGACCCTTTCTTTCTAAAATTAGCTGCTGAAATTGTCGCAACCCCTATTACTAGCCTGTTCAACCTCTCTTTCGTAACGTCTGAGATCCCCAGAGATTGGACAGCTGCCGCGGTCATCCCCCTCTTCAAAGTGGGTGACACTCTAGATCCAAACTGTTACAGACCTATATCCATCCTGCCCTGCCTTTTGGAAGTTTTTGAAAGCCATGTTAACAAACAGATCACCGACCATTTCGAATCCCACCGCACCTTCTCCGCTATGCAATCCGGTTTCCGAGCTGGTCATGGGTGCACCTCAGCCACGTTCAAGGTCCTAAACGATATTATAACCGCAATCGATAATACAGTACTGTGCAGCCGTCTTCATCGACCTGGCCAAGGCTTTCGACTCTATCAACCACCGCATTCTTATTGGCAGACTAAATAGCCTTGGTTTCTCAAATGACTGCCTCGCCTGGTTCACCAACTACTTCTCAGATAGAGTTCAATGTGTCAAATCGGAGGGCCTGTTGTCTGGACCTATGGCAGTCTCTATGGGGGTGCCACAGGGTTCAATTCTCGGGCCGACTCTTTTCTCTGTGTATATCAATGACTCTCAGATCCACCTCTACGCAGACGACACCATACATCTGGCCCTTCATTGGACACTGTGTTAACAAACCTCCAAACGAGCTTCAATGCCATACAACACTCCTTCCGTAGCATCTAGCTGCTCTTAAACACTAGTAAAACTAAATGCATGCTCTTCAATCGAACGCTGCTGGCACCCGCCCACCCGACTAGAATCACTACTCTCGGCGGTTCTGACCTAGAGTATGTGGACAACTACAAATACCTAGGTGTCTGGTTAGACTGTAAACTCTCCTTCCAGACTCACATTAAGCATCTCCAATCCAAAGTTAAATCTAGAATCAGCTTCCTATTTCGCAACAAAGCCTCCTTCACTCATGCTGCCAAACATGCCCTCGTAAAACTGACTATCCTACCGATCCTTGACTTCGGCGATGTCATTTACAAAATAGCCTCCAACACTCTACTCAGCAAATTGGATGTAGTCTATCACAGTGCCATCCGTTTTGTCACCAAAGCCCCATATACTACCCACCATGGTGACCTGTACGCTCTTGTTGGCTGGTCCTCACTACATATTCGTCGCCAAACCCACTGGCTCCAGGTCATCTATAAATCACTGCTAGGCAAATCCCTGCCTTATCTTCGCTCATTGGTCACCATAGCAACACCCACCCGTAGTATGCGTTCCAGCAGGTATATCTCACTGGTCATCCCTAAAGCCAACACCTCCTTTGGCCGCCATTCCTTCCAGTTCTCTGCTGCCAATGACTGGAACGAACTGCAAAAATCTCTGAAGCTGGAGACTCATATCTCCCTCACTAACTTTAAGCATCAGTTGTCAGAGCACCTTACCGATCACTGCACCTGTACACAGCCCATCTGAAATTAGCCCACCCAACTACCTCATCCCCCTATTGTTATTAATTTTGCTCATTTTCACCCCAGTATCTCTATTTGCACATCATCTCTTACACATCTATCATTCCAGTGTTAATACGAAATTGTAATTATTTTGCACTATGGCCTATTTATTGCCTTACCTCCATAACTTGCTACATTTGCACACACTGTATATATATTTTCTGTTGTATTTTTGACTTTATGTTTTGTTTACCCCATATGTAACACTGTGTTGTTGTTTTTATCGCACTGCTTTGCTTTATCTTGGCCAGGTCGCAGTTGTAAATGAGAACTTGTTCTCAACTGGCTTACCTGGTTAAATAAAGGTGAAATAAAAATAAAAAAATAAAAAGGGATAGTTAACTCATCTTTTAGTATTTTGTTCATTAGTCCACTGTTAATATAATCATCCCAACATTTCAAAATAGAGCGCTTTCAGTACAGAGCAAAAACTGTTATGATGATGTGGGCAGCATCTCAAGAATATGAATGCGGAACCTACATTGTCTTCAATGATGATTTCCGAGAAAGTCACGTCCTTGATTACAATGTAGTGATATTACTACTTGTTGCTGTATGTTTGCATCTATTTCTTGAACCTCTCTGATGATGTGTGCAGGGTCTCAGTCTCCTGTGGTGTCCAGCCCCTCTCTCAGCCTGGAGGAGAAGACCACCAGGAGCCGTCTGGACCCACTGACACCAAGCAAAGGGAAAGATCCCAGAAACTCACCTGAAAACAGGTACTAACCACCTCTCTGCCACTGTGTTCCTCTGGCTCCGGGGTGAAGTTTCCCCTAGGTACAGATCTGTGTGTGTGTGTGTGTGTCTTTGTGTCTGTGTGTGTGTCTGTGTCTGTGACGGCACTCTTCGAAAAAAAGGTGCTATTTAGAACCTAAAAGAGTTCTTCGGCTGTCCGCATAGGAGAACCCTTTGAATAACCCTTTTTGGTTCCATGTAGAACCCTCTGTGGAAAGGGTTCTACATGGAACCCAAAATAGTTTTACCTGGAACCAAAAACAGTTCTCCCATGGGGACAGCCGAAGAACCCTTTTGGAACAGTTTTTTCTAAGAGTGTGGTAAACTAAATCCCCACTGTGGGTCTGACTCTGTAACTCAGTGAGGCTGGCTCTGGTTGGCTGGCAGCAGCTGCTGTGACTGCAGACAGCAACACAGCTGGGACTCCTACACAACCCACAGGGATCACTGCACACCCCTCCCACCCCCAAGATCCACCCCTCCATCCCACAAAAACCACCCCTCCGTCGATAAACTCTTTCACAACCCTAACTTACCCCCCAACCCCACCCCTCCTCCGCCAGAACACCACTGGATTGGGCTGGGGTATGTGTGTGGATCAATCGATGGACAACACATGTAGAAGTAGCCTATCCTAGTTGCTTGCTCTATGGCTGTCCATTCATGTGAATGGTAGCAAGAGCTTACTGTGCCGTACTACGCACACACGCATACACTCACATACATACACACACACACACACACACACACACACACACACACACACACACACACACATACATACTCACACACACAGTAGTCAGGTCTTATGTTTAGTAGATGTATTTCTGTGTGACTCAGCCGTGGATCAGAGAGAGGTCAATTTGTCCACTCCCTTTAGCATCCACCTCACCTCCAACACTGCCTGGGTCAGTTCACTATGCTCCTCCCTGTTATTCTTACAGAGAAACACAGGACAACAAAGACAGCAGGATACTACATGAACCTGTCTGGTTTCTTCATCTCCTTTTAAGTGTCATTCTCTGGTGCAGGTGTTTTACTGGTGTGAATCTCTCTGGAGGTGCAGGCGTTTTACTGGTGTGAATCTCTCTGTAGGTGCAGGCGTTTTACTGGTGTAAATCTCTCTGGAGGTGCAGGCGTTTTACTGGTGTGAATGTTTAGTAACTCTGGCTCTGTTTGTAGGTGTTTGTCACAATCTGTTGTTCTGTTTTTTTCTACCAACATCTACCTATTTTTACACTGTTATTGTATCTCAATGTGGGATCTGTGTTTTCTCTACTAACCCATGTCTCTTCTCCCCAGTTCTACAGAGCCCTCTGCTGAGAATAGCCCAGAGAAGCTCAAGGCCAAGGTATGTGTGAAGAGAAGTCCAAACGGTGTGTCTGTAGTGGTACTAGACTAGCCAGGTCCCAAGCTGTACGCACAGTAACTCTTCTGTCCTTGTATAGATGATAGGCTGATGATAGGCTGATGATAGGCTGATGATAGTGTGAATTCATTTTACAGTTGGCTTCAGCACAGACAGTATGGGTACCAGGCTAGTACTGGACCATGAGGGTTTAAACTATTGACATTGATTCAATACTGTAGACTCTGGCTGCGTCCCAAATTGCACTCTCTTCCCTACATAGGGTCAAAAGTAGTGCACTATGTAGGGAAGAGAGTGCTATTTGGGAAACCGACATTGATTCGATACTGTTGGCACGGTGAACAGAAACAGGGCATCTACATGATAATACGTATTGTGTGCTAATGCAGATAATACCTATAGGCTATTTATTATGTTGCATATTGTTTGTTCACATTGCATTGATTTAACCTGTGTCTGGTTTTGATGCGTTTAACAGAAATCTCTTACATGGCCCCACTTCTTATCCTATTCATATTACTTGGTATTGTATTTATTTTTGTTTGCTCCAATCATACCCAATCAAACAAGTACTGTACATCACAGGAGGTTGGTGACACCTTAATTGGGAGGACAGGCTTGTGGTAATGTGGAATGGTATCAAATACATCAAACACATGGTTTCCATGGTTTCCATATGTTTGATGCCATTCCATTCGCTCCGTTCCAGCCATTATTATTTTTTACATTTTAGTCATTAACAGACACTCTTATCCAGAGCGACTTACAGTTAGTGAGTGCATACATTTTTCATACTGGCCCCCCGTGGGAATCGAACCCACAACTCTGGCGTTGCAAATGCCACGCTCTACCAACTGAGCTACAGGGGAGCCGTCCTACCCTCAGCAGCCTCCACTGATGTACATAGCAGGGCATGACATGGTCTAAGTTAATTTCAGTAATTTACACAAATATAGAGCCATATTGGATTAGACTTAAGTTAATTAAATCAAATGGAAATCTGACCAGTAATGAATCAATCATCATTTCTTCAAGAATGTGAATCATCATTTATTTATTTATTTTAATTTCAGAGGTTGGGTTTTTCTCTTTCAATCACATTATCTGGCTCTCAATTTGTGACTGGCTGTTTGATTTGTACATAGTAATTCATTAGTTAGATATTCTCTAGCCACTGATGTTATCAATCAAGGTATAGCAATGGGGAAATCACTTCAATATAATATCCAATTTCTTGCATAGTACCTAGTCTTTCATCCCTGATACATAACCCTAAGGCAGGCCTAGGCAACAGCGATTTTGTTTTGCCCCCCAAAGTTTTTAGTAAAGGAATACTTTAAAATCACCAGGAATTCAGCTTAAAATGTGTTTAATTTAGGAAATCTGTTCCCAAGTATTCCCACAAATAAAAAAAGAGACGCGATCGTGTGTCAATGTAATCAAGGTATGAAATGATTGTTATTTTTCTGGGCTTAGTTGTGGTCAATTTGCAGTGTACAAATCATTATAATAATTTTCTGGCCCCCGACCATCCGCTCCAACAAAAATCGGCCCGTGGCTGAATCTAGTTGCCTACCCCCTCCCCTAAGGTGAGGTTCAAGTGCCGTATCTCTCTCTTCTCATATTAAGATGCCCCCAGTCTGTCTGCCAGACAGCGTTTATTATTGTTATCACTGGGGATAGGCAGAACTACTGAGGTCTCACAGGTAAACACACACACATAAACACACATGCACATGTGTGTTCACTCACACACACACATATGCATGCGGTGCACATACACACACACAGACAGACATATGCACACACATACACACACACACACACACACACCTCTAGGTCAAGATGACTCAGTTCAGCTACAGATCCCCAGACAACTCAAACCACAGTAAAATTGCACATTTAACTTCATTATGCAGTATAATATTAAAGTTATATTTCATTACGTCACATACATTTTTTTATCATTGAATAATACAATACGTCCATGAATTAGCCATAGGTCCGCAGAATAATCCCCACTACTTTTGATCAGGGCCCATTGAGCACTAAATAGGGAATAGGATGCCATTTTGGATGTAAACAATGTTTTGACTGAGGACTAATAGACTTCTGCATGGTGTTGTTCTCCATAGGGTCCTGTGGTGAAGGATGATCTGAGTACCAGCAGTAGCAGCTCAGGGGAGGTCAGTGGTCTGCTGACTGAAGCCAAGATGTCCGGTCGCTCACACACCCTGGTGCTCTCCTCAGACGAGGTGAGAAAGAAAGATTTGATCTTACATAAAGTATCAACCCAGTATCAACAATGGCCTGTTCCCTGTTTAATTCCTTACAACTTATATTCAATTTAACTAACTTTGATGTAAGCAACTGTAGGTTCACTATTCAGCCATTTTGGATCTTGTATGTACCCTGCAGGGTTTCCCAAACTCGGTCCTGGGGCCCCCCCTGGGTGCAGGACCGAGTTTGGGAAACCCTGCTGTGTGCCCTGTCCCGCTGCTGCTACTGTGTTTTTGTGTTAACTGGCCTCTCCTGTCCTGTTGTCCCCCTTGCTGCTATGTTCAGAGTCTGGATATGATAGATGAGGAGGTGAGATCAGGCTCTGAACGGCCACCAAGGCTGCTAAAAGGAAATGTGTTTACATCACACGCATGCCTCCCATCCGTCAATAATTCTCATATTGTTTTAACATACCGGTAGATACTCCAAAACCTTGGAGTTCATGTCTCTTATGTGATGTTCAGTCTTCAGCATGCTGTCAACTTCTATTCTTAACATTTAGAAATTATTCATTTTAAAATCACCCATCACTATGTGTTTGCTCTCGTCGCTGCATGTGGAGACAGAAATAATGGTTTTAGAAAGCTTGGTTCTCTGTAGACCTCCAACCGTGTGTGTGTGTGTGTGTGTGTGTAGATCCTAGATGAGGGCCAGTGCCCCAAGCAGCACCAGTGGCAGAACCTCATTGTGACAGAGTGGACCTCCCAGCAGGTGTCCCGCTGGCTCATGGGACTAAACCTGGAGCAGTACATCCCAGAGTTCACGGCCAAGAACGTAGACGGAGACAAGCTACTGCAGCTGGACAGCAATGAGCTAAAGGTAAAGGGCTGAAGCCTGTGTTAATGTGCATATCCAGCTGTGTTAGTTACTTCGGGATTCAATCCGAGTTGCGCTATAGAGCACCGCACTATACAGTCGACGATGCGCCTTTTAAAAGCATTTTCCCCAACATTCGCCGAGATCGCATTCATGGTAAAGCATCATGTCAGCTCAAATGTAAAAGTCTGATAAAGTGCGCTTCTCTACAACGTGCCTTGGATTGAATCCTGGCCTTAGTTCCTAGTTAGTTACTGGTAAGTTACTAGTATAACCTTGTTTACATTTTGTCATATTAGGGTGTTTGGTGAAACCCGCCAACCTATAAGTAGTTTAACGTTTGAATATAGTAATTGATTCTGAATAAATTTCTGTCATTAGCTTCTATACTTGCCCTGAAGCTTTGAAACCAAAGATATTAACTGTAAAAAATAAAATAAAATAAATAAATAAAAAACAGGCAGGCAGGCAGAAATTGTTACAGCTCCTGATGTATTTTATTGGACCATAGCTGCTGCGTTCCATTCCCTGGACTTGATTTCCCTTACTGATATGCACCTGTTCACTCACATCCCCTCCATATCTGATCCCTGTCCTGTATGTGTGTGTGTGTGTGTGTGTGTGTGTGTGTGTGTGTGTGTGTGTGTACAGACCCTTGGCGTTGCCTCCTCCCAGGACCGGGCTCTGATCAAGAAGAAGGCAAAGGACCTCAAGGTCCTGATGGAGAAAGCTCGGAGGAACCGGGAGAAACTGGACAAACAGCGAGAGAAGCTCCGTAAGAAAGAGCTGGAGCAGCAACAATAACAGGCCCACAAACCCAGCAGCAAGGGCCACTCCGAAACAGCAGAGGGCGCAGCAGAGTAACCCACGGCTTAAGACCTACCTCTCCTTGTCTTTCTACCAACAACCACTACAAAGTAGCATCTCCAGGGATAGAAACAGTCACCAGAACCACTGAGCTGAAATACCAGATGTAGTATGTGATATGTCTATGGATATAACCAGAGATACTTTTAAGGAGGAGATGGGAAACTCCAGTGGAATCGTATTAATGCCCATTGTGTATGTTGCCCATGTGTCATCAATGGGCCCGCAGTGCATTCTGGGCGATTCTGGGACAAGGAGAGCTCAATTGGGCGCTGGGTCAAAAACCCATCATTAACATGAATTTCGTGAACAACAAGTACAACATTACAAATATTTTCCGAGATAATTATCTTGTTCTCTGTAATACCGTATAGCTTTGGAATCGTGACATTACGTACTTTTGAGGAAAACAGGCAGGTTTCTCGATTCATACCCTGACTTTGCGAACTGCGTGACGATTAGCTTAGCAAACGCGTGACGCAGCATGACAACGTGAATGCGATTGGTTGACAGTCTGCTGTGCTGAGTGGGGCGTTATACGTTCCTCCATTCATAGCCCAATGGGATTCCCATCTCCTCCTTTTCTCTAATATCTCTAGTATAACACCTAACAGGACTTGGGTTCAGGCTGTGGAGTTCAGTGCACTACTACTGGAGGCTGTAGCGATGCAGGCTGTCACGCTACTGTACCACCGAACAAATACCAAAATGATAGTTGGATAGTAAAGATGCTGCCCACCCACCTGCCTGCCTTTCATCTCATTGTGCATCCTCGTCAAGCAGCATTTCCCAAACTCGGTCCTCGGGACTCCAAGGGGTGCACGTTTAGTTTTTTGCCCAAACACTACACAGCTGATTCAAAATGATCAAAGCTTGATGGTTAGTTGATTATTTGAATCAGCTGTGTAGTGCTAGGGCAAAAACCAAAATGTGCACCCCTTGGGGTCCTGAGGACCACGTTTTGGAAACCCTGTCATAGTGTTTCCAAACCTCCACCTCCATTACATTTGATTTATTTTGCTGTAATTCAGGTTTATTTATTAATTCTGAGTAAAATCTTAATCTCAAAACAGAAACCCCCCAAATGTATCAGCTTCACACCTGTCTGTGTTCCTCCTCTTTCTATGATGTGTTATATAAAACACCTTTAGACACAATGACAATGTACATATAGAGATAAATATGTCACATTTTTATATCATGAACATGTATATCCTGTGCAGATAGATCGATGTATTTATGGAATCTGAATCTTCCCATTATAGCTCTGATGAAGCACATACTCTACAAATGACCTGTGTAGTGGATGGTGAGGCAATACCCAGATCTCACCACCAGGGGGGGCAATACCCAGATATCACCACTAGGTGGGGCAATACCTAGATCTCACCACTAGGGGTCAGGCCTGTGTAGTGGATAGTGGGGCAATACCCAGGTCTCACCACTAGGTGGGGCAATAGCTAGATCTCACCATTAGGGGTCAGGCCTGTGTAGTGGATGGTGGGGCAATACTCAGATCCCACCACTAGGAGTCAGGCCTGCTGCTTGGCTCCTACCACCGGAGAATGATGATAACACTGGAACTACTCAAGAGGAACTGAAGTCTATTGAATAGACAAGTTCAAGTCTTACTGGAATAAGAACCAAGTTTGTGGGAAGAAAATGTATTCATACTCCTTACTGGAACTACAATGGAGATCTCAACACTGGATTTCAACTACTGTATTAACTAAACTCTTTAGTCTGCTAACAGTAAACCTGCCTCTGTATCACATCAGAGCACTTCACACAATGAATGACTAAGGACTTAGTGAGTGGACTGATTCCTCTTAGTGTGAAGTGAACCGTTCCATGAATTTGTAACATACAAAGAGAAGGTCCTGTGTATGCATAATATTGTTTCTTCAGCCTCCTGTAACCTGCTTTCAACCTCTTTTTGATATTCTCTGAATCAGGGGTTCTCAAAGTGGGGTCGCGGAGGTACTGTAGGGCATAAGTGGACAGATCTAATATATATGTGTTTTTTTTTACATTAATTTTTTTAATGTATATTACTAAAAACAGATTAAATGACTTTTGGCCAAGGGATCTGTGGAATAAGTTTAAAGTGTGTAATACAATGTAATATTATTAATCTACAATGTATGTTCTTAACCCTGGGCAACATGGGCCTAGGAGGCTCACAGGTATATTGGTATCCACAGTACTCCACCAATTATCCATTTTTCAACTCAATACTATTCCCCCAAAATGTTTGTTTTAACCTAAATGCACTGTAATTTAAGCTTTAAAACTGCAAAGTGTTCTCTCTGCCTCATGGCAAAATGTGTAGACTTGTAGGATATTATTTTAAAGCTGCAACAACAAAAAATATCTCTGCATCATGGCAAAATGTGTAGAATTGCAGGAAATTAGCTTGAAAACTGCAAAAAAATTCTCTCTCCCATGCCAAGAGGTGGGCCTTTTAAATGTTCTTTCCCATGGTGCTTTCAAGACAACTGGGAACTCTGAAAAAAAACGTCAGTGATCTTCAGGTCGGAAAGTCAGAGCTCTAAGAGGAGGCCCGAGTTTCTGACTTGGAATTCCGAGTTGGATAACAGTTCGGAGCTAGTTTTTTTCAGAGTTCCCAGTTGTCTTGAACGCACTGAAGTCTGAGGTCGGAGATTTCCGAGTACAGAGTTCCGAGCTCCCAGTTGTCATGAATGCAGCATTTGTTCATCCAGCCATGTAGGCTACTGCAGATGTCCCTGATGAATTTGCTAACACACAAGCGGTCCCCGACCCCAAAAAGTTTGAGAACCCCTGCTCTAAATAACTAAAGTAAAACCCAACCGCTGCCTTAGAAAACTAGAGTAGATTTTCGTAACTCTACCCGCTTCTACCCGATTGTTAAAATAGAGTGAGAGTCATCCATTATTCTATGTCTCAAAGCTGGCAAATAATATGACCATGTCATCATTCTTTTGTGATTTTATCTTTTCAGATGATTCTGTTTGTGTTTTATGCCCTGTGATTACGCAATGGCTTGGTTTCCATGGTTGGCATTTTCAGAACAGGGCATAATGTTTATCCCACTACCTGTGTACACTGAAACATGTGAAGAAAGATACCGAATCTGAAAGAGAGGATTGCATTTGTGTGCAGGTTCATCATTGACTCGGTTTCACCACAGTACATACACGATTACCGAGATTACAAACATTCCACTAGATAGATACAACCTTTTTGGATTTCATATTTCTTTTTCTTAGATACCTTTACATCATTTTTTTTTAAAGGACATTGACATAGTTGTAATGACGTTTTATGCTAAATGTCTTTTGAATATTTTTTAAGCTTATTTGAGTCATTATATTCCATTATCTTACCCAGGAATCATAATTTGTTCATGTTTACATACATTGTATAGCCATTGAAATGTCTCCATGATGGTGATGCTGCTGTTGTTGCAGCGGAGTAGGGTGAAGTTGCCCCTAGACACTGAACAAAGCTGATCCTAGATCTGTGCCTAAGGGAACTTCACCCCGTAGCCTGATGCAACAGAAACATGTAAGGCAGCTTTGGATACTGTAGTTCCCATCCCTGTTAAAGGCACTAGTTAACCCTTTACACTCGTGGGAATTGGCCTATGGATAGGGCTAAATTGAAATGTTTCTTACAGAATAAATATGAAAAGCATATGCATAACCATGGTAGCAATTGAAAGGGAACAGTTTCAAGATTATTAGACCAAAGGTGAGGACACAACTGTTCACCTGACACAAGACTGAATCCAAACATTACACTGTTGATTTTGTGTGAAGTTTACATTCACTGTACTTTTCACCGCATTTGTTGATAACGAAATCTGAAAATACTCTTCATACATTCAGTAACATGATAAGAATATTCCTGGGGTAATGTGGTGTAGGTGCAACATAAGACAAAAACATGTACAAGGGCTTGAGTGAAAGGACTAACTGGTGTCTCCAAGTGGCCACACACCTCTCTAAAGTGTGCACAGTTCCTAAGAAATGTCAATGCACTTTTATGACTCAGGGGTCAAGTCACTCTGCCCAGAAAACGTGCTTTAGTGATGAAATGTCACTTCCTTATGTTATATAATACATGTTACCAATACAAATATGATTATTCATGTTCTGAATAGTTCAGTGGGGTCTTTCTTTAACATATCATTAACATTATGTGGTCCTCTGTAGCTCAACTGGTAGAGCACGGCGCTTGTAACGCCAAGGTAGTGGGTTCGATCCCCGGGACCACCCATACACAAAAATGTATGCACGCATGACTGTAAGTCGCTTTGGATAAAAGCGTCTGCTAAATGGCATATTATTATATATTATATCAAAAAAGTCGGATTTCGTAACCTAATACATTTGACAATAAGCACCGAGCTCTGTTGACATAGTGGTGCAGGTTTCTCATAACTTTTTAGGATTTTACATTTTGTGGTAGTCGTCTTCAAAGTTGTTTCTGCGGGTTGCAAAAAGCTAAATTGTCGTGACACGAACTGAATTAAATGTAAAAGGCTTGATGTATGTTCAGCGCTCCGTTGACATTTCAAAGAGATACGATTGTTTTTGAGAGAAATCTTAGAAAAATAACAAGAATTAAGAATTAATATGAAAAGTGTATGTCTCAAAATCGATATCCATCTTACCTCTATATTGTTTTATGTCCTGCGGTTTCGAGAAGAAAGATGACGAGTAACGTTAGCCTTCATTTTTGCACAGAATCCAGACTAGTTGATGTGATGTAATTTTCCAGATAAAAATAAATAAAACATCTCTGGCCTCCATTGATTTAGTCACCCCAATTCTGGCCATCCTTCAAGGGAAAAAACTCCAATAATTTAGAGGATTATCTAAACATTTACATATTATTTTACCCATTGGTCAAAATATGCGTTTTTGATTGGACACCCTATATAACGT